CCGTACGAAACCCGGGAGCCATCGGTGAACTTGATCTTGAACGACGTGAAAAGGTGTCTGCCAGGAGTTTTAGTGTTTCGGTTTGTGGTTCGGGGGACTTGCGGTTTGGGGGTTGTGGCTTCGGGTTTCTTCAAGTATAGGAGGTGTCTACGTTATGTGGGCTTCCTAGCTTATGTGAGTGGTGTATGATCGACACCCTACACCAAGAGGACGGATTCATTGGCAGCTTTTCAACGCAACCCTAGCTTGCCAACCAGCATTCCAGTGGTGGTCGCAGCAGAATCAGGCTAACGAACAAGTGCTACTCGTCGGCAGCAGTGGCAATGATGGGAGTAGAAGATCATGCACGTGCGGCGACCGAGACACTATCGATGAATAATCGGAGCAGCTTTTGGGACCCTGAGCCCGGTGCCTGTCATAGACCCATATACAGTGAACGAAGCTTGAGCTGAGGCTTTGCAGGCTAGGGCTTTGGGCGCACCGCCACTCCAAATCCTGTGCCCCCGAGCAGGTGGCAGAAGCTCATCTTAGACCTCGAACCAGATTTCGCCGAATTGCGGTCGAGGATCCCGATTGGGAGTTGCAGACCTGCACGCTAGACGGCAGGCTCAGAAACTTCGCTAGGACTTCACCCAGGGTTGCAAGCTTCATCCGTTTGTTGAGGGATTGCTTTTTTCACTGGTGCGTTACAGCCACACAACCGCCGCTGAAGCAAGCATGTAAGCAACCCTGCTAAGGCTGAATGGTTGATATGACGCAGAAGTCGTAGTCATGATTCATGATGGTGGCCATAGCGGCATTGATCCACTAACGCTCTAGCAGGAATGCATCACGACATCTCTAACCCGAAGCCGTATAGTCCCAGAATATCCGCTTCTCCGGGACACGGAGACTTCAAGCTGCAGGCCCTAGACCCTAAACTTTACGGTTTAGGGGTTTAGGGTTAGGGTTTAGCCGCAAACTTTAAACTCCTACGCGTTTCAGTTCAGCCCTCAGAGCACTATTCATGTAGACTTCGTCTGGAACCGTGAGTTTAGGGTTTAGGCTGGAGTATAGAGGTCCGAGTATGACATCATACTGTACCCCAGCACACTGTTCTGCTTATTCCTGGAGGCTCATGCCCTACGTGTACACCTTTTCAAGGATACCTAGCTTCTGGTTAGGATCTGTTATATACAAAAGTAGGTACCCGAAAAAAAGGGGTAGGGTCTGAGCCTCCAGGTAAGGCCTCTTGTTAGAACTGGATCCCCTCCAAGAGGACTGCAGGAATGGCCTTGGGTGAGCATCTGGAGGTCCAGTGGGTACTGCCCAGGATGGATCGGGTTTCGTGTTTACGATGTAAGATTTAGGGGTTTAGCGGTTCGGGGATTTCGGGCTTGGAGTCTGGGGTTTAGGGGTTTAAGGGTTTACGGCTCGGGGTTTGGGATTTTCAGGTGTAGGGTTTAGGGCTTATGACTTTTGGGATGCGGAGCTAGAAGGGCGCAGATTACACAGATAGAAACAGAAACATTAAACAGTGCAATCAAGCAAGCAAACAAACCAATGCAACAGATACACACACAAACACACACACACACACACACACACACACACACCCTGTACACTAAAATCATCTGGAATCTACACCTCCAGCCAAGAATCCGACCCACAAAACCTTAGACTCAAAAGACTAGCTGTAAAACGTCCCTCGCTTTAATTATGGGCGTCGGCTCCCCCTTCTGTCAAGCAGCGAGCTCCCATCGAGGAGCCGGTATACGTCTGTTGCATGTCTGTCGTGTTCATGGTTTAGGGTTCCTATGTTTTCACGGGCTCTCGAAGGCAGTCTTTTTTGCAGGTCGTCATGCTCTATACAAGCCTATGAAAACCTATCAATCGCTGGTTGGTTTAGCTAGCTAGCAAGGGTACAGTACTAAGCCCTTTTGAGCTGTTTACAAATCTTATGGCCTTATAGCCATGCTTTATACAAGCAAGCCACTGCAATTTTTCCTTTATGTTCTGGGACCGTCCCTTTGAGGTTTGTGGTTTAGGGTTTGGGGTTAGCTAGGTTTAGGGTTTACCCATTACCCATAGGCTCCGTAGTAGTTCGTTTTTGGGATTACCTTCTAGGGGGTTTAGGGTTTAGGGTCACAGGTACCCCTAAACCCTAAACCCTAAACCCTAGTCACAGGTAGCCGTGGCGAGTTTGCTTCGGTACTGCCCTGACTTCACTAGCAACGTGCCGCGGCAGATGGGTTCGGACCGGAGAACTAAGAGCTTAGAAGGGTTTAGGCTTTAGGGGTTTAGGGTTTAGGTTTAGGGTTTTAGGGGTTTAGGGGTTTGGGGTTATTGGGTTACGGTTTAGGGTTTAGGGTTTTAGGGGTTTAGGGGTTTGGGGTTAAGGGGTTAAGGGTTTAGGGGTCTAGGGTTTCGGCTTACAAGTTGTTTTTGTGTTTCATAGGGTCTGTTCGTAGGTTTTTTTTCGTCATGATTTTGCAGGGTTGCACAGGGATTTATTATAGGGTTTGATGGTCCAGCGGTCAAGGCTTGCAAGGTGCAGGCTTATGGCGAAACCAGCAGCCAAAGGAGTTGGACATTGGAGGTTGAGGCCATGCCGTTAGAGTATACCTATCGTCTACACTGTCGTCGTTCTTTTGGTTTTTTATAGCCAGGGTTCTATAAGGTAACCTTAAAAAGCAACTACAGCAGAGACTATAGGTATGTAGGGTTGTATAGGTTTTCGGGGTTGAGTGGCTTTGGGGCTTAAGACTTGCAGGCCTCACTCTGAAGCCAACTGGATTCACGAAGACCCCGGCAGCTTCTGGTAGGGACGCTTCACAGCCTTGCCAACCCACTATGACCGACAAGTCCTGCGTTCACAAGACCCTAAAGACCCTAAAAACCTCGAAGAGCCTAAAGACGTCAAGCGCTAAAGACCCTGTAAAGACCCTCAAACACCTTACAAAGATCCTACGGACCTCAAATAGCCCTACAAGCCCACCGCCCTGCATACCCAAAGGGACCAAGCATCATAATAGTTGGTAATTATTTGGGCCCCAAAAGTTTATACTATACCATTACTTGGACCCTTTGGCTTGCAGCCCCCATCGATTTTTCGGGCCGAGGTCCACTTCCACGTTGGCTTCGAGATGTGGTATCAGCCGTTCTCCGAGTTGGTAGGCTCGGGGCCGGGATTCTTAAGTGTTTTAGGGATCTGGTTTTATTTGAACACAATAATGCAACTCCGAGGGGTTCTTCAGTTTTCTTAGGGATCTGGTTCAATTAAACTCCGAGGGTTTATGTAAAGATAAAATCGCTTTCATGATGGTCTTAAGGGCGCTTGAGGCTCAGGCTGTAGGCCAGAGGGTTGTGCTTATGGGGTTTTGGGCTGCTTTCCGGCTTAAATATAGGGTTTGCCTAGAGTTTGGCCGCAATAAGTTTAATATGAAACCGAAACCCAAAGGCCTAAACAGCGGTGTAAGTGTAGGTTCTTGACTTAAGGTGTAGCGGCCGTCGCTAGCATATCCTGGTTCTGGTTTATCCGCAAAGCCGAAACCCTCATCATTGGTCGCTTTGGACTTTTGGACGTGCGGGCTGGGAGTTGTATGATCTAAAAGAGCACATCGCCACTTCGACAACGGCCTCCGTAAGGTTTGTTGCTGTGGCTCGAAGGTTCGGGGTGATCGAGTTCTTCGAGATTGTGGATTTCGCCACGGCGTCTACCTGGCTTCACCTTCCGAAAGCAGAGCTAAACCGGAACTTTGATCATTCTCAGGTTCTTCAGATATTACAGATATGTTTCGACCCGTTCTGCTAGGGTGCCCTTCGTGAGAAACTCCTGGTAAGGTGTCTTAACCCTGGCCTTTTAGCCGCCAGGGGCTTGGAGTTAAGGAATACAAATCTTAAGCTTACCACCATTAGGGTTCAGGCATTACGAATGTTCAGGATTTCGATGTTATTTCTTCTGCGGTTTTGGGAATCAGGATGTCGTAAGTGGGCTCGAGGAGATGTAGAAGTACAAGCTTATTGCGACCTCACCTGCTGCAGTTCGGGGGAGTTCGGGGGCGCCTGCGCAAACCCAGTAAACCTACCCCCAAAGTCCCATGTTGTAATTTAGGAATCTACGTAAATTAGAGTAGGGTCCCTAATCCTTTATTAAGGGATTTTGGAAGGTCTGGGAAGCGCAGCCTGCATCTTCTCAGATGCACCCACCCGCTTCTTCTTCTTCCGTGACTTTCTGCAAGTTTTCGCATACTGTGAATGAGTTGAGTGTTGTCTGTATGAATATGTTCGTACATGTGTGTATTTATGTCTGTGTGTGTGTGTGTGTGTCTGCGCTTGTGTGCGTGTTCGTAGGTATGCGTGTACGTGTGTACAAACTCGGGACAGTTCTGAATCCCAACGTTTTGTTCCGTCAGGATGGTACTTGAGCTCCGTGGGTTTCGACGACGCCACTTGTCAGCATGGGAGTGGAGTTTGAGCTTCATATGTGGGGTTACAGGGCAGTTCAACCTTGAGCCCCCACTCGGCCTAATGCCCTTTGCTTGTAAACCGTGAGGTATACCCCGCCAAACCTTACAATCCTCAACTATCGGATGTAGGGTTTGGTTGCTACAGACCCTCCTCGCAGCAATGCCATCGGAACGTTGGTTCAGGATTTTCTAGAACCACTCGCTCCCGTCAGGGTGCTAGGTTTCCGTCAACCAACGACCACGTTCCGGAACCGGTCAGCGTCATCCCCATAACATCCAGCACACACCTCGGGACACCTAAACCCCTCAATCCTAAACTAGCTGAAATCAGATGACCGGACACGGGTCGCGCAGAATTGTTGGGCCACCGGTTCGTAACCGGCGGCCAACTTGAATGCCTAAGCTAACCTGCAATAGTAGACGACTAAACCCTTATAAGCCCTACAACACGAAAGCTTAAACCTCGACACTGAACCCGACACCTAGAGGCTCCATGGTAGTTCCTTTTTGGGCTCATAGTTAGAATCCTATAAGGGGATCCCAAAAAGGAACTACTATGGAGCCTCTGGGTACTTATGAACTCCCGAAACCTTACAGGCCCTCCACGCTAATTCCCACGCCGAAGCGTTACGATGAGGTTCCATTTCGGGTTTAGGGTTTAGGGATTTAGGGTTTAGGGTTTAGGGTTTAGGGGTTTAGGGTTTAGGGTTTAGGGTTTAAGGATTTAGGGTGTAGAGTTTAGGGTTCCCAAACACCTTGGAAAACCACGGGCGCAGGTTCAATTTAAGTCGCTCTAGGGGTTTGGGTTGGGTTTTGGGCTGATAGGTCTGGGTTGCTGGCTCATGAGGCAGGGCTTGATTGATAGACACCGAACCCCAAGCCTAAAGGCCTAAAACAGAAGCTGTGTCGAACCGCAAGAGTGGTAGGGCTTGTTCTGTAGAGTCGAACTTCTTGGGTGCCTGCTCTGACTCGGTTTGAAACGAGCTATCCATTTCCGGCAGAAGAAGAAGCGGACAGAAAACAATGCTAAACTCAACCATGAACGCCCAAACCCTAAACGATAAGCTTTAACAGGCCTGCGGCCCACAACTCCTGAACTGCGCCTGATTCTCAGGTCAAAATCCTCGAGGCTACGGAGAATGCCATAGTGGGCTTCGACAGCTACAGTGTCCCGCGAGACGCAGCATTCCTGGCATCTCGGATGGCAATTTGCAAGCATGGTCGCTTTTTCAGGGTCAGCAGACACCAGAATTCCTAAAGCCTAAACTCTACACCTCAAATCCTTAAACTCCAAACCCTGCTCTAAGTTTGTAGGTTTAACTCGATGATCGGTTGGCCTGAGAGAAAGAGGAGGTTAGGGAAGTAGGGCATGCATGTTGTAACACAAACAAACGATCGCGACAGATACAACAGGTGGCAGTCATGCTAAACCAAAAAGCTACTGGTAAGGATACTATACGGATCCGAACAGAGTACTTCAGACTTACAAGTCTGCCTCAACGGGACTGAACCTGTCAGGGTTCTAGAGGGGTTTTACGGTAACGCGTACGAACTTTAAAAGTCGTGAGTCTGAACCATACAGTGCCTCCGACGGCCGCAGCTCGCCCTCGCATGTTTTTCGATAACAACTACATGTATTGGCTTCCCTTAAACCCGTGAGCCAGCTGCGAGCGTGCAGGGCAGGCTTTCGGGCTTCACATAGGACCCTGATAGAACTCAGATCCTGTATAGTAGCCTTGCACAACTGTTACGAGAAGAGCCCCTATAGAACCTGTTATCGGAGAAGGCCCGACGAACCCAAACGTTCAGGGTTAAGGTTTCTGCTCATGTGGTGAGTCTCGTCGTTGGCTGACTTGGAGAGAGCGCTTTGTATCAAGATTCTAAGCCCGAAACCCTGAAATCTAGACCCTCCACCTGCAGGTGGCAAAGCAAGTTGGTACGTCCTTGGGGTTCGCGCACGCAAGGCTCCTGGGTGGTTGGTTCTGTGTCTTTGAGCCCTGGGGGTGTTATGACCCTGCCATTGCTTGAAGATCAGGCTTGAGGTTAGGGTTAAGGTTCATATCGGGAGTTTGGGGTTCAAACTGCAAATTAAAAGCCCCTTGCTCAGTAACCTGAACAGACCAGGGATTCAGCCCCTAAACCCTAAACCTTCCGGATGTTTCGGTTCTTGAGGGCCACCGCAATCCAGAAAGCGCCAACTAGTTGCCAGGACTTCGCCGATTGGCAGTAGCTGTTCCCAACACCCACATCGAAAGTTGATATCATGGGGAAGCTATAATACCAACCAATTTCTTGCAGCCACGAATATTGAGCTTGAAACTTCAGCGCAGCATCCCTCAACCATATTAGCACAAATTCTATGCCTCCAAGCAGCCTTGACTAAACGTGCAAGCAGAATCCAATTGGCAAGACAAGCTTGCACTACTTCCAAACCACTGAAATCTAGATGCCTACACCCGAATACCTGCACCCGACGTAACCGTAAACCCTAAACCCTAACCCGAAACCCTAAACCCTTCTAAGCCCTGGTCCGGCACTAGTCGCGATTCTCTGAGACATGCCCTACCCAGAAGGGGTGAACCTAAATGCTTTATAGGTCCGAATCCCACTACACCCAAAATTGCAAAGTCCAATGCTCTCAAGCCTGAAGCTCTCCACAGATCCTACTCAAAACCGATAATCCGAGTCAGATGCAAACCTGCATACAGCTTTTTATCCCTGAAAGTTTACATAATCCTTATTGAAGCCCTTTCCAAGCTTGTTCAGGGATCGGCAAGTCTACTTTTGTCGTTGGGTTCCTTTTACATAAATATGACTAACCCAAAAAAAGTCTGTGCTTTTGCCCAGTGGGCTACAGGACAGCCCAGTTTCTGAACAGTCTATGTAAAGCCCTGCAAGTCCCGTAACACCATAGAGCCCTAGAGCACTAAACCTTAGACCTGAATACACATTCCCTCAAACCCTTGTAAGACACCCGAAGGGTCCATGTGCCCAAACAGTGTATACCGCGACCCTAAAGTAGTCGCCAACTAGGTGCTTTGGGCCAAAGGTATACACTATTTGGATACATAGACCCTTAAACCCTAAACTCTATAGATCCCTTATAGAACCCTTATAGTTCCCTTCAAAGAACCCCTTAAAGGAACCGATTTTGGGCACAGGGACCGTTAAAAGCCGGCCCGTGCGACTCCTTCTGAATCCTGGAACGCTAGGCTTCCAGGTTTAGGGGGATTAGGGTTCAGGGTTTAGGGGATTAGGGTTCAGGGTTTAGGGTTTAGGGTTTAGGGTTTATAGGGTCTAGCGGAACAAACTCGTCACAGCGTGTTATCATACGCGTGTGGCGCCACACGAAGGCTTATGTAGAAGCCTAGGGCCCCGAACCTTGAAGCCCAACATCTACTGCCACTCTCTTCCGCTCCAGGGATTGTGTGGTTTATAGGGTTTAAGGTTCAAGGTTCGGGATTTAGGGTTTCCTGTCTGGTTCTTAGTAGGGAATGGGGGAATGGATTATGGAGGCAATAACTGGGGATTATATAGGGACCACTATAGGATCCATTCCCCCATTCCCTACAAAGCACCAGACAGTTTTGTTGGTTTTGAGCTCCGCTCTTCAGAGCTAAACCCTAAACCCTAGAGTTCCTTTCTTCAGAGCGAGAAGCCGCAGGCTGGATTCCACGAGCGAGCAACTTGCTGGCACCTGGAACCTCGCATAGCTCTGGCTTTCTGCCCATAGGCTCCATAGTAGTTGCTTTTGTGGTTCATCTTTAGGACCTAAGGTTTAGGGTTTAGGGTCTAGGCTGGGTTTAGGGACTAATTCCGGAGTTTTCCCTAACCCTAAACCCTAAACCTAAACCCTAAATCCTAAACCGTGATAGTTTTCACCCTTGGGCCCTCGAAGTTTGAGGGCTGAGGCTCGAGTGCTCTGGGCTCCGTACTTACCGTAGGCTTTCCGAGTCCGGGGCTACACTGTCAGGTCAAGTGCCCGGGAATCCTGGTGGGAAGGAAAGTTAGGGTTTAGTTCAGGAGTTTAGGATTTAGGCTTAGTTTGCCCAACTTTTAAACCTGTACCCTAGCCCTATTCTACGCCCTAAACCGGTTCGCCTTTTCACTTTGAACCAGAGGTGGTATAGTTGTTCAAGAAGCCGGTCGGCTTAGACAGGCCAGGAGCTCGGCTCACCCTGTCCAGGATCTCCTGATACCCCATGCACCGACGCCCTAAGTCCTCGAGCTCCTAAAAGCACAAATCCGAACAAACTTGTGAAGACAGGTGGGGGGTTGTCAAAATTATGTTCCTTTTTTGGGTGCCCTAAACATTAGGTGTCGTATTATAATAAGGACCCCAAAAGGGACCCTAGTATTCACAACCATCCAGGTGGGTGGCAATTCGCTCTTCGCTGGAAAACCTGGAGATCAAGCAGAGCCTGTCGGACCGGCAGCAGGGGGAACAGAAAGATCGGAACGGTTGATGATATAAATCCTGCATTACCCATAATGGGGATGCCATAATTGTCATAGTTTAGGGTCCTTATGAGGTAATGCAGGGTTTATATCATCAACCGAATTAATAGGCATGTATATCTCGCTTTGTGCCTATGTGTCTATATCTTAGATGTTAGAATCGCGGCGTTTTGGGTGCAGCCGAATCGCGCGATTTGGATGGGTATGTATAAAGCGTATAAAGTAGGAGTTGCCGATGTGATCTTGAACGTAACTGTTGAGACCTCAAAAAACCTGGTAGCTTCTTGAAATGACCGATGTGCTTGAACGAACCGATGAGGATTGACGTGGGTATTTCAACTTCAGATCCATTGGAGCTGAGATTGAAATTTCTTTCAAACCCCAATGATTTTTGACGAAACCCAGAAAATCATTTAGCCACGGCTGGAGTGGAGCTGGACTACGACATCTTCTCCCGGAGGTCCGGCCCTCAGTCTCTGGCAGAGACAGACTTCGCAAGACTTTGTTTCGACAGATGCTGGGAACATCATGAAGTGATTCTCATTACGCTTCGCCCGATAAACTTGACACGTTTCATGTTTCATGGTAGCTGTTGGCAAGCTTCTGCGGGTCGCAGAGTGGAAGTGATGCATTGTCGGTCTCAACATGCTTTTGTCGCTGCGGAGGGGCCCGCGACGCGCGGGAGTCCATGCTTCGAAGGTTTGGGGCCTGAAAGGTGAGAAAAGCGGACTCCCACGCGTGGGGGGCCCGCGACGCGGGGGAGTCCACGATCGGGGAGTTTGGGGCCTGAAAGGTGCGAAAAGGACTCCCACGCGTGGAGGGGCCCGCGGCGCGCGGGAGCCACGATTCGTTTTTGGGAGTTTGGGCCTTGAAACGTGCGAAAAGCGGACTCCCACGCGTGCTGCTGCGGAGGGCCCCTCCAGCAGGCGGGCCCCGCCGCGTGCGGGAGTCCAAAATTCGGGAGTAATTTGGGGCTTGAAAACGTGCGAAAAGCGGACTTGCCGGCTAAACCCAGAAGCCCTGAGCATCCCTTACTGTGCCTGCAGGTGGCACCTCCACGAAAGCAACAGGGTCGCAGCGCTGCTGCTGCGGACAAGGCATCTTCCAAAACTCCACCCCAGAAGCTTTACACCTTTAGGGACTTGAGAAGGCTTCACACCGCAAGCCTAAAACCCTGTTGCCAAGGTTTTTTGTATAGTTCTATACCAGAAGCCCTGAGCCCTAAACAACCTGGCTTACTGTGCCTGCATGAGGCAAGATCAAAGCACGACCATCGGGACAGAGAAGTTTAGTGATTTTTGCGGTGCTGGAAAAAAGCATTCAAACTCCAGCAACCCCACGCCCAACCGGGCAGGTCTACGACCACTTCTATGTCTTCGATGGCTTAGGGTGCAAGGGGGACAGGACCCAAATCCTCAAAAACGGGCAGGACCCAAACCCCTGACGACGACGCGAAAAGAGGACGGGACCCTCATCCTCTGCGGGGCAGGACCCGACCCCAATGGCGACTAAGAGACTGCAATTGGGAAGGACAAGACCCAAATCCTTCTAAGGGGCAGGACCCAAACCCCTGACGACGACGTGAGAAGAGGACAGGACCCTCATCCTTTGCGGGGCAGGACCCGACCCCAATGGCGACGAAGAGACTGCAGTTGGGAAGGACAGGACCCAAATCCTTCTAAGGGGCAGGACCCAAACCCCGGACGACAAGTTTAAAAGACAGACGCGAATCCTCTGAAATCTTCCTGAGGGGGCAGGACCCAAACCCCCGACGACGATGTGTATTATAAGGGGACAGGCTTATTGGTGTCTGAGGCTTTTCCAAAACCGCCTTGAACTTAAACTTCTCAAGCAGTGGCAACTTCGTAGGGCGCAACCAGGCTGAATGAGTTTTCCAAAGCTTGCAAAAATCATCGAACCGATTTCTCGTCCAAAGCAGCATAAGCAGCGATTTGGCACTGAAAATCCAAATCGCGCGTTTGGCGTTCCCGACCGTTGGAAAAGAACGAATAAGAAGCGATTTGCACTTGCGATTCCCGAATCGCAGCGCTTTGATTTGGCGATTTAATCTACTAAGGTCTATATCTACCACACCTATTTCTATGTTTATGTTTATACTTGTGGTGATTCTCATATCTGATTGTTTATCTTCATGTATATGAATCTGTAGTTGCATTCGTATCTACATCAGCATACATATACACATGAGTCTTATGCATGTATATGTGCATATGTATATATATATACACTATATTGTCCCAGCCCTGCTCTAACTATATTAGGAGCTCGGTCTCAATACCTCCCGGCTCCTTCGCCCATGATTTTACCCCGGGATGTTCTGGAAGATGTAACGGCCATGATGCACGGCGGGGATGCACCTGCGGTGTAGGGTTGATATAATGAAAACTGGCGGGGTGGCAATCATCAATCATCCGGTGGACCTAATAAAGACCCCTTATATGCAACTGCCGCGCTGCCATCAAGCTGCCATGACAACTTCATCAGTACTTCTCGCGAAGCTGTCAACTTATCTGTTCTGCCCATGGCCAGGATGTCCCTTGGTCCGGGCTTCCACTTATCCCTAAGTTATCCTAGTGTTTCGGTAACTCAAGTCGACAAAATTTCTGACCCTGGCGCTTCAGCATGCGGTTCTTTCGGGCGAATTTTGCATGTTATTGACTTCCTAAAGGGCACCTTTCAGGGATCCATAGGGTTCGTTTAAAGAGCTCCTTTAAGGGCTTTGTAAAGTGTTACCATAAGGGGTTGGGGTGTAGGGAGCTTGATGTGGGGCCGCTACTTTGGTACAGGACTTAGCAAAAAATGCCTGGGATAATGGCGTCAGACTGGTGGATTTGGCGGGAAACCCGCAAGTGCACCAAAACCTGCGGTTTAGAGTTGACAAAGAAACGAAGTGTTAGCTATCACCCAGTGCCAGTCTATTAAGACCTCTATGCATTATAGACTCCTTTTGGACACTCTTCTAGAAGCATTTTCTTCGGCAGGAGCTGCCCTTGTGTGAGAAGGACAGCCACCTGCTGTTCATAAACAGCGCCACTGGACTGTCAATCACAGCTGCCGTCAACGGTTTAGAGTTTGGGGTTTTAGGTTAGGGTTTTTAGGGTTCGCGGAATTGCAGGGGTTTAGAGTCCTAGTTGTGCGGAGCGTCAGCACCATGGCGAGCTGAAGATGCGCGACCGTTCGTCCATGGCAAGACAAACAAATCTACCGTTACGGGAACTTGTGAGGATGTAGCTGAGTAATAACAGTATTCCGTTCCGCAAGAGAAACGTAACAGCGCCATCGACACCAACATCAGCAGCTGCCATAGCACCGCAGCTCCAACGCCACCGCAGTGACCATGCGAACCAAACAAAACAGCAACGAAAACACCAACGCCAGAAGCAGCAGCAACAACACGGCAAGAGTGCACCACTTGCCAGAATAAGAAGGAAGAGCGACGACTGACCTAACCAGGACGGAACACACTGTCACCAGTCGTGGTGGTCATTTTCATCGTCATGATCAATGATGACTATCACCGGGAAGTAATGAGTAGATGTCAATCCAGGGAAAAGATCTTCATCGCTGGCATGGTCGTAGTCTGTAACATAGAACGGGGCAGTACGAGTAGCAGTAGCAGTAGCCGTAGGAGTAGCAGTAGCAGTAGCAGTAGCAGCTTGCAGTAGGAGGAGCACCAGCAAGAGTAGGAGTCGGAGAACAGTAGGTGCTGGACTTCGGACTTCGGTTGTACTGGATCAGCAGCAGTGCTTCACTATAATAGAGGTGGCAGTTTAGCTGTGCGGGGCATTTTGAACATCACCTTGATAATTCATTTTCAGTGGGCGCACCACTGTCATTATGCCGCTAGGCCGAGCATCAATCTTGGAACTGGGGGACAGGGCTTCCCTGAAGGTCGATGCGTCACGCGATGCCTCGCGGGCTGATAACCTGCGCCATGCCCTGTCCCAGTGCCGAAAAGATGCGGCGACTGGGGACGCGCTGTGCCTTGATTCATTTCGGGGGGTGTCGCCGTGACTGTTTCTGAACATCGCCTCAACATCTTGAAAGCATGTACGATGGCTGTTCTAGATTCATCAGCATCCGCAAGAACAACGCAGCATTGTTGCAAAACGTTCCCGAAGACCTTCCGGAAGATCTTAGACGCATGTTGTGCGAGACAGTGGTTTGCTTTCCAACGGACTTTGGCAGCACAATCGGAAGTTCCAATAAAGCGACATCAGCCCGGAATGCTTGCAAGAGTACCGGGAGGAGCTGCAAAGCCCAGCAAGAGCAAGGAGTAAGCGGGAACTCTGCGCCCGACAATACGGAAGTTTCCGAAAATAGGGGACCCGAAATATAGTACCCTAAATAGTCGGATCCTTATTATAAGGACCCCATAATAAGGTACCCCTCCCAAATCGACAGCTGAACTGCAGCGGCAAGCTTGTAGCAATCGTATGGGGGTGATGCTACAGGGGTCATGCTCTCTGGGCAGCGCTCTGCCTCGTGGATCCAGCTTCCTCGCCGTGAATCGATCCTGGTCAAACTGTCGACGCCATAGCCATAGTCCGAGCCCCACTCTAAATCTTCGAGTCCCTGTGGGTTGAGAGCTTTAGGCTGAGAGAGTCTGGACTGTCGCACGGCATGTCAGGAAATTCGCGCATCTGCAAATCTGGCAGAATTACTTGGTCCCATCCACATCGCAACGAGCAGCTGAAGGGGGCGTCCCCTTCCGCAAGCACGATGCGCCTCTCGGATCGCTTACTCTGCTGGATGTTGTGCATCTGGTGCTCGAGTTTCGGTTTTAAGGTTTAAGTATCAACGACATGATCTTCTGTTGGTCGGGAGTATCAGAGTATATAATAGCTTTTGTTGAAATCGAGGAGGGTGGAAGATGTGTACGAAGCTCTTGGCTACTGGCGGCTTGTGTTTCGAATGTTACTGCTGGTGCTGCCTCGGCTAGTCTCACTCTGCAGTGTTGCTTTCCTTACTTCTAGGACTGTCACCCTTACTGCCGTGACTGGAGAGTTTGTATGGATAAATGGTCATTGCAACTGGCCGTTCGTATGCTCCGTATATGCATCTCCCTCCAACACTCAAGCCGACAAGCCCTATAGTACCCTTATAAAGATCCCTTATAGGAGCCCTTGTAGTTCCTTTAAAGCCCAAAGCCCCTACTTACTCGCTGCAAACAGGTACGCGAAGAGAGGGCGAGAATGCTATCCGATCGATCGTGGCACGGAAGCCAGGCTACGAAGCTAGACCAATTGCAGCGTTCTACGTACCTACAGTAGTTCACAGTATGCATCGTAGTTCCTTTTTCTTGGTTAGATTTACCCAACTGTATGGCTAGGAGGAGTCATTAAGTTATCCCGACACAGAAATACGACGAAACATGAAGGCAATGGCACTCCCAGATCCACAGCCATGACATGGAGGGTTTGAGTTTTTCGTGCAGAGTCAAAGCATCTTCTCCGAAAGGACCTGAATAGTTCGAACCGGACTTGCCGGTCTGCTGTACGAAACACATCTTACTCATAGCCACTATACGCTACTTACATCTTGCCGCGGTTATCGGTGTCTGAATAGTTGGTTCAGTTTCCGGGTGTGTAGCTTCGTCACACTTTGCAAACGAAAACACTGAAGCTTCGGGCCGTCAAAGTCAGATCTTCGCCAGCGATACTTTCACACTCGCCCTCATTATCATCACCATCATCATCGTCGTAATGACCATGATCATCACAGACATCATCACTATCTTCATCATCATCATCATCAGCGTGTTCACGACCACCACCAACACCACCATTACCACCACCAGTACAAAGTTGTTGCTTACGCCTGGTGATATTCCTCTTGAAGGCACTTAGTTGCGTCCTGCAGCAGATGTCTGTCAGAGGTCAAGTGCTTCGGAATGGATTGGATTGTTCCGCATAGCGTATACATGATCACGGATACTTAAACGCTAAGCCCCAAAACTGACCTGACTCGAACGAGAACCTGACAAATTGATCCTCCCGTGGCTGCAGGTTTAAGGAACTTCTGGAGCAAGCCAACGATGAAAGCAAAGCGCTGGCACTGCGCGCAGCACGTGCCTACCTGGATGTGTGCCGCGATGCATTCAATGACAGAGTTTGCACCGGCTCAGTTCCACACAGCCATTAGAATGGTAGGGTTCGAGCCTACGAAAATATGAGCACGTTCTAAGCATCTGTGTGACTGCATCATCACCTGAGCTCTAAAATCAGTTCCTCGAATGGTCCATGTACCATGTTTAGAGCCAGCACTATGTATGGTGTCAAGAGTCTCAGGTATCTAAGACTCGTGATTTGGACTCTCCGACTTTCAGGGTACGGTAAACGCTAAACCCAGCCGGAGCTCGGATGGGATTTCTTTTGGTTGCGGACTACGTATCATCGTGGTTTGGATGCAGTGCCCTGAAACCTACCTAATAGTCATCACTGTACTTCCTTTTTCTGGGTTACTTTATAGAATCCTAACTATAAAAATGGTTAAGCCAAAAAAGGAACTGCAATGGAGACTCAGGTCTTGTTTGTAGCAGTACACTCTTGTTTTGGTGTCTCCGTATCACAGCTGAAAATCGCGATATCTGGGACCTCTCCGATCCCCAGTACCCAACCTTTAAGCTTTTTGGCTTCTTATAGTTTAGTAGGAACCGGAAAGTCTAACCTTTCATTTTTGTGTCTTAATGCGGAAGTTAAAGCCTTGTCGGCGCCCTAAACCCTAAACCCTAAGCTCGACGGATCTCAATCCCTACCGCAAACAGCATCGGGCCTCTTCCTGCCATGCTATACAGGGAATTCCAGAAAGTTGGAATATGGTTTCAGGGTAGGATACCCTATAATTTACCATAAAGGGTTTAGGATAATCCTATTCCAACTTTCTGGCTTTTACTTTACTGCTTCGATATGGTTGGAGCCTTAAACCTAGTAGTAGAGCAGGCAACCTTTAACCTTCTTTGGGTAGTATAGTCCCTATATAAGCCCCAACATAACCAAAAAGGTTAATCTTTAGTTCCCCATGATACCCGACAAGTAGGTTGAAAGTCCTGATACGGAGACACCGGAACAAGAGTGTACCGCTACAAACAAGATCCACCCTGAGTCTCATAGTAGTTCCTTTTTGTGGCTCAACCATTTCTTACAGTAAGGATGCTAGAGGGTAACCCACAAATGGAACTACAAAGGAGACCATAGCTGACCACTTCAAGATGTTTCGAGCCTGCAAGATCCTGAAGGCCTTTTCTGATCCCGACTCCCTTTCAGGCTCATGTGGTTACCTTTGAATCCTAAACCCTGAAACTCTTAGCCCCAAAAAGCCCTGTACCTTCAACCTTAAGCCTTAAAGTCGCCAGCTGCTCCGGTTGATGATATAAATCCTGCATTACCTTAAGGACCCTAAACTGGGAATTATGGTCTATTCCTTATTATGTTATAATGCAGGATTTATATCAAGCCTAAACCCTATAGATCCCTTAAAGGAGCCCCTTAAAGGTACCCTTATAGAGCCCTTTAAAGGAACCCAGGATTTATATCATCAATCGTCAAGATCTTGAGTCTGAGGTGTTTCTTTCATCCCTTTGACGATGCGAACAGCCGAAGCTCGGATCTTCTTCAGAGCACCTTAAGGCTTAGCCTCTGCCCACCCCCCCACCCCTCCCCACCCCCCAAAAGAACAAAGATAGTTTTTTTCTATTATCGGACTTCTTAACGGACATAGCAGGAAGAAGTAGGAAGGAACTCCAGACATGGCGTGTTGACGCCAGTTGGCATGAAGTAGGGTCTACACTAAACCCTACTTCATCTGTTTCTTCAGGTTTCTTGTGGTCATACAACATATCTTTGTCTTGCCAGAGATTCCGTAACCCCTGCACCGTTAACCGTATCGGAGGTTTTTCAGGGCGGAAAGTTCAGCAGTCTTACTCGTTTTGCTAGACCGTAAGAATTCTCGGGTCGCACACCAGAAAACACCTAATTTCGACCATTCTATTTTCTGCAAACTTCTTTCAGAATGCACATAATGTGATGCTATTGTCACGGATCTGATGTTATCGCTTGCCCTCTGCGATTGATTACGACCGCCTGTGTTCATTCCCCTGCCACTGCCTCTGTTGATGATGTTGCCTTGTAGTTACTGCTGCTGCTACTGTAGTCCCTGTGAGTATGATTCTGGCTAGTTGTTGTGGCTATGAATGTAAAGGCTGCAACCCATGTGATGCTTGTGTGTTTAGATAGCCCGGTTTTTCAGCGTATCCACGGCTTAACATGTGACCGAACCCCAAACCCGAAACGCAGACCAGGAGGTATTCAAAACAGTGTTGAATAAGCTCACAGTAGGTTTGGGCAAGCCGAGGATTTGGTGAAGTTCCGGGTTTAGGATTGGCATGACATCCTGAAGCATGAGAGCAAGGAATGGCGCGGCTAGTGTTTGACTTCATCCTTGCGCGCGAGGGGGTCGTGCTCCAGACGGCTCCTTGGTCACAAATTCCTGTGTAGCTGAGGATGCAAGCTCTAGTAACCCTAAACCCTAAACCCCTAAGCCCTACTGCAGTCGGAAAAGGGCCCGCAAAAAAAAAAAAAAAGAAAACCTAAGCCCAAGACCCTATTTCTCTTGCTTCGGGGATCCAGAGCTCAATAAGAATTCAATTGAAGTGAATAGCCTTCGTTGGTCCAGGCAGCTATATCACGTTTCAGTGTTTACTTGAATCGTTTCTCTATCAGCCTTCGAAACCCCCTACAGGGAACTCCAGAAAGTTGGAATATGGTTTCAGTGTAGGATACCCTATAATTTACCATAGAAGGGTTAGGATAACCATATTCCAACTTTCTGGCTTTTACTGTAAAGCCTAAACCCCAAACCTTCAGCCCTGCATCCTCAGCCCTTACAGTTAAAGTTAAACTCTAAATCCCGAGCTGGGCTCAGGGTAGCAGGTTTAGGATTGGAGGGGTTTAGGGTTAAGTGTAGAACGTAGGGTGGAGAGTCTGAGACTTGGAGTCTGCCTGAACCCTCAGTGTTCAGTGTGTGCAGTGCTTAGAGTAGTCACTCCGAGTCATCCTCAGCAGAATGTTATGGGGAAGCCGCAACAAGAATCGCATTGGAGAGTCCACATAAAGCTACATAGGTCATCATCAGATCCCAGAGTCGTTGTTTGCCAAGGGTGGTGATAGAAGCGCCTTCTTTTCGATATTCCTAGTATGGTGCCCTCCAGAGCAAGGGTTGCAAGTTTCCGAGATATGAAATCATCCGAAACCTTCAACCTACCCCAGGGTAAAAGGAGGGACCCTTAATAAGGACCCCTAGGTATATACCCTTAATATAGCTATAATATACCCATGAAATAGCCCATTATAGGGTAGGGGTCCCCATTAAGGGTCCCTCCTTTTCCCCCTTGAACCTACCCAAAACCCGAAACCGGAAACCCTACTTGGAGGATCATGGGACTTAGTAAGTAGGTTATAATTGGGGCTATAAGTCCCCTAAGTGGGGTTATCCTAATTATAAGCTACTTATAACCTTACTTACTAAGTCCCATGAGCCTGGAAGTACCCATCCTGATGGCACGGGGCCACTGGCGGAGGTGGATCCGGTCTTCCTTTTCGGAAAGTCTGCAAAGGACTGCTTCAAGGTTTAGGGATATTTAGGCCTACTACTGTTGGACGGCTCTGAGGTTCAGAAGCCTTAAACCCTAAACTTTATAAGCTTCAGTGAAAGGCCAAACCTGGAACGAGCCTTTCGCCCTAAACCCTCAACCCCATAAACCCTGCAAGCCCCAGAAGCCCTACCTGTAAACCAAGCGAGCCGTAGAAACCAAACAAATCCTATAATACACCCTGAGCCGTCGACTCCCCGATCAATAGGTTTTGGAAAGCTTTGCAGTTTGGGGTTCGCGATTTATGGTCTAGTAGGTTCGGGCCTATTAGGGTTTAGGAATAAGGGTTTAGCGTTAAGATAGGAAAGCTGGGGCAGGCTTCTTGTGCGTATTGCGAGTGTCGGCATATGTGAGGTTCGGTGGGGTTCCGGGTTCTGGGGCGTAATAGGTGTGCTTTTGTTTTACATGTACGGCGTTACGGCAGCATTCATCATTATCATCATGCTTATTACTCGACTAGGATGCTTCACTGGATCGGGTGGTGGTAGTGACGACGATGATGACGGTGATGTTGACGACGATGATGATATCGACGATGATGATGATGACGATGATGACCAGCGTCGTACCATTAGCAGCATGATGTGGGAAGTCTGGTTTCCCAAGTGCTGCAATGACCAACTCGACCTCTTCATTGAGACTACACCACAAGTCCAGGTAGCCTTCCCTGGTATACCCATGTACGCCCTAATGTACATGTAGCCTAAAGCCTACCTTTCCATGAAATTCTTGAGACCATCCACAATGAAGTAGGATGTCGGGCTACATGACGGATGAAGTTAAGTCACTCAGCCCATGTACATCCAATAAGCCCTAAACCCTACACCCTAAAGCTCGAGCTTTACTTTAAGAGCCCAAAACCTTAAAACCCTAAACCCCTAAACCCTAAACCCTAAACCCTACGTACGTGGCAGCTTATTGAGGATGGCGTTGGCGCAGAGAAGTTGGTCGAAGTCGTGTGCGCCCGGTAGGGTTTGGGCTTTGCACTTCAAGGTTGTTTCCAATTTTGTCCGTGGGCAGCAATTATGTTTAACGGTTCAGCAATTTACGGTTACCTAGAGGCTCCATAGTAGTTCCTTTTTGGGTTCATATTCAGACTTCTATAAGGGGATCCCAAAAAGGAACTACTATGGAGCCTCTGGGTGGTTTCAAAAGCAGAGCGTTACGAATGAGGCTTGGCAGCTTAGGCCTCTTCAGACTCAGCGTTCCATGCTTGAAGCGAGAGCTTGCAATTTGCAAAGAGACGGAGCTCTTGAAAGGGATCCTTGTTTAGTCATGGGGACTTTTTGGGGGGAAGGGGGGTAGGGGACTGCACTTCCTTAGTTTATATCCCCTCCCCTACCTTCCTAAGGGTCCTTATGATTTAGAAGCAGCCCCACTCTGATTTACACCTCATCAGCAACTGCGTTGAAAAGCTGCTGCATCGGCACCAACGCCAAGCATTGTGACTTTCGCAGCAGCATCCACGAGATCACAGTGGCATTGCCAGTTGCAACTTCTGCAGCCGTCGTGTTGCTCAAAAGTGCCCTAGGAATATGCAACTCAACAAATCGCAAGAATTAGTTCGAGTGACGGTAGTCGCCAGAAAGCGAAGCTACTGCCTATTGCCGAAGTTGTACGCGCGCAGGTAGCACTGGCAAATCGCCACTGTTAGCCGTTAGCCGCTGAAGCATCTAGGTTGGATGCAACATTCACAGCGGAATCTGTGCCAGCAGCTGCGTAGGATCAGCCACGGAGTTGTTGCCATAATGTCGGAAGCTGATTAAGAAACCCTGGGCCTATAACCCCCCCCAAAATAGTAGGATTCATATAGGAACCTTAATAAAGGCCCAAGGTTTCTTAACAAGGTGCCTACATTACTATAGTACCCTTATAGATCCCTTAAAAATTATAGTAACCCTTATAGACCCCTTGAAGGGAACCCCAAAAAAGAAGAATCGATGATCCACTGCGCCAGGTCCAAGCTGCTGTGCCGAGCTAGAGACGGCTGGAATGCAGAGCTCAACGATTGGGAGGCACGGTTTAGGGTTTAGGGCTTGGGGTTTAGCCGAACTTATCAACCAGTGCGTTCTTAGTTTCGGAAACAGGTGCAGCTGGTACAAACCCTCAACCCTAGCCTAAACCCTCCACCCTAAGTCCCAAACTGTGCATGGGCGGCAACAGCATAGTTTTGCCCATGAGTTTCCGGTGTTCTTTGTGGTTTTGCGTGACCTAGCTCCACAATACTTGTAGCAGTAGACATGGATCCTCCTAGTTTGGCTTCGAAACCTCAGCTGCTACTCTTACGATTGATGATATAAATATACATATATATATATATCCTGCACTACATTAAGGACCCTAGTCTATGGGAATTACGGTATATTCCTTATTATGGGTAATGCAGTTATGCAGGACTTTTATCATCAACCGTAACTAGTAATCCGCAGCCTTACCCAGAAAGCCCCAAGCCCTAGCCGCCGGTTTGGGGCATCCAGCATCTACATGTATTCTGTCAAAATTATGGTCCTTTTTTTGGTCCTTAGTATAGCACGGCCTAATATTTAGGGTACCCAAATATAGGGGACCCTAATTTTGACAACCACCCATGTATTTCAGATCCGTCCCAAAAACACCGGGCCCTCAGCTCCAGCCCGGTATTCTGTAAAAGGGTTTAGGGTTTAGGGGTTTAGGATTTAGGGTTGATCAATCGTGGAATACTGCATCATCTCCGCACCTGCGCCTACAGGGTTTGGTCGGGTTTTGTATCAAGAGTTCGCTTGAAGAACGTGGTTTCAAGGTTCAGGGTGTCGGCTGGCGGGGCCTATGCCCTAAACCCTATAAATCCCTTAAAGGAACCCCAGGTATTCCTTAACTGAGAGATTGCGGAGTCTCTGAATTCTTAATTAACGAAAGCCTGGGGGGCCTGGTGTGGCGATGCCAGCAGCCCATGCCTGGGCTTTGTGCTCTCCCACAGAGCAGCTCCTAAGTATTTGATACAGTTGAGACAAATCCTGCATTACCTTTATGACCCTCTGCTATGGGAAGTATATATTCTCTATGATGGGAAATGCAGGGTTTAATCATCAGCCGTAGGATCATAGGGGTCCCAAATGATGTTCAAAAGGGCGACCTGGCAGCACATAAAGCATCATGGTGTCTGATACTAAAGCTCACAGCGCTGAACCCAAAAGCCTCAACCCCTTAGCCTAACCCCACACAAGGATCGTCACCCCCCGCTCCCCCTGCCGACTGTGAGTTGAAAAGATGCATCATCCCCTTTCCTCCTCATGAATTAAAAAGCTTTTCCAGGCGAAGAACCCCTTCCCTGGCTTCCGGGAGCTCAGAGCTTCGTCTATGGTTAAGGGCTTTAGGGTTTAGGGTTTCAAGTTTGTAGTTTGCGGTTTAGGGTTCGAACGAAGAAGTTTAAGGCTAATTTAGGGTTTGATGTTATGTGGTGGCGTTATAGGGCTTTAGGGTGTACTTGCTGTTGGAGCCTAGAAGGTTCATACGTTTCTGTAACTCCTGCAGGGTCCAATTGTCCAGGCGCCGAAACCTTAACCCCTAGACCCATACCCCTTCAACCCCATAACCCTGAACCCCGAAACCCCATAACCAACCCCCCTCCCCCCCAGGCCCCTAAACCGTAAACCCGAGGGGAAGGAGTCTCCGGAATTCGTGACATTCTTCAGCCATTCAGTCCGATATTCTGCATAGGTCTGCATAGCTCTAGCATAAAACACAGCATTGCAATGCTTTCAGGGTTTAGGGTTGAGCCCTGTAGGGCCCTATTATAGACAGCTTATCGAACAAGAGACTTGTAATGAAGCTTTTCCACGATATTGTAAACCATCTAGAACCCTTGTAGAACCCGCGTAACTCGTAAAGCCCTAGGTAGATCCAAGTGGCAGATCTGAAATACACAGTACTGTGTACAACATGTAGGGTAAAGATGCCTGGATATTTACGAATACTGTTCTGGGTTGTCCTTTGGGATCTTGTTTAATTAATTTCCTCTACCATTTTGCAGAGAACCATAATAGTAAATAATTCTCAAAGGGCTTAAAGGACAACTCAGTGTTCGTTAGGGTTCCTTTATCATGCGTGTCCGACAATACCTATAGGACCTGTAGTCTCCATTGTAGTTCCTTTTTAGGGTTACCTTCTAGGATCCTCAATGTAATATTGGTTACACCAAAAAAAGGAACTACAATGGAGACTGTAGGTAGACCCCCAATCCCCACAAAGGCGACGATTGTTACTCCAGCTTGCCCGGTCTGTGTTGAACTCTTCCTCTGAACCCTGCAAAGGTTACTACATTGGCCTAAATAATTACCTATATACTATTTTGGGCCCTCCTTGTGATAATATTATAGTAGAATGGGCCCCGAAACCCTATTCTGATTATTGAGGCCCCTACATTAATGGAAGCCTGCTCTTATTTCCGCATGCTGAGGTAAGACAACGTGGTTCGCATGCATGGGCTATCCTGAGGACGTGCCACCGTAGCTGTGGGGAGTTCGATGCCTCGCGAGTCCGCAGTCCAAAATCGTCCCGCGGCCACCTTGCTTTGCCAGTTAGGTTACTATGAGGCCCTTTTCAGGGTCCCTTAAGGGCCCTTGTAAAGGGTATTGAAAGGGCCGGTGTAACCTTCAATCCTAAACTTCAACTTTCGCCCAAGCCCTTCAAGCAGCGACGACCCGAGAATTACGTCCGAGTAACCGAAGCTCCGGCAAGTCTCGGATCCCGGAAAATCTGAATAATATGGTTTGGGGCTTAGGGTTCAGAGTTTGGATTTAGGGCCTGATACTGCGCGTTGCTCTGGAGTTGCTGTGGGGTTTCTATAACCTTTGCTGTGTGCCTGTGTGGATTCAGGGTAAGGTTTTAGGCCAGCTTACCGTCACTAATGTAGGGGCCTTAATATTCAATAATTAATTCCCTATACTGTTTTGGGGGTTCCTTGTTATTTTTAGTCTAACTAGTAAGGCCCCTATACAATGCAAGGTTGTGTTGGCTCGGGGGTTCAGAGGTAAGCCCATCTCATATCCAGCAATCTGCTCCAGAGCTGCTGTGGAGATTCTTCTACGTCCTGTTCTCGCCCTCTTCGTGCTGCTCCTTCTATGGAGCACACCCCGCCAAACACAAGCCGCGAGTATCGGGCAAACCCGATGTCAACTCGCAGACTTGCACGAAGCTGTTGTTTGGGCAGGTTGGAAGGATAGTTACCGGACTTCAATGCCGGTGTTCGAATCGATTTAGAGGTTCAGGCTGGAGCGAGTTAGCAAAGTATGACCGGAGAATGCTGCAGTCAAAAACAAAATCCGTCAACCCCAGCAAGCAGGATAAGAACACGAGTCTGGGAATACGACGATGACAACTTGCCATACGCAGAAGGCAGATTCTCCAAGCCCTCCGTCAGTAGTACAAACTACCGTCAGTGCTAAACCCTTAACCCTAAACATCCGTGGCTGTGAGCTCAAGGCCTGAGAGCAGTTGGAAAAAAGCATGTTGCTGGTTCTGTTTGTTGGGGTAGCCCGGGGCTCGAAGACCCAAAACCAGAACACAGGGTTCAGATTCTCTGCACATGACCACAGCAGTGGTCGCCACCTTCGTCATCCGCAATGTAGCAGTAGCAATCCCGGAACCCTAAATCCTAAGCAATTCCCAGCAGCAACCAACAGCGTCAGAGGATACAAGTCAGTACTGGGCCCCTTGTGTCCCAGCCATCCTGCCCTACCTGGACCCCAAAGTGTTTGCCAGATTTAAGGCATGTTGGGATTTTAGATATACCTGTTGGTACTAGGTGCAGGCTTCAAGGCGTAGGGTTCAGGGTGCTGTCTCGGATCTCGAACGCAAATGCTGGCATTCATATCAGTGGAATCGAAATTTCGGGTTTAGAGATTGGTTCCCCGAGGATAGTGAGGATAGTGGACAAGTAAGTCTTCTCAGGTGCTTTATCACGAGACCGTCGTGACGGACAGGCCCTACACTTGACATGGTAGCCTAAGGGTCGCATCCGAAGCTACCCCAAACTCTCAAACCACACGCTCGATCCTGAACCCTACCAGACAAAGCCCTCTTTTTAATCCTGAACCGCACAAAGCTTGGCAGAATTCTAACCATACAGCCCAGTGTTTCTGTGAACCACAAGACCCCTGCCCGAGCATTTCTTAAGCCCTATGTGTTTGTTTGATTTTTCGTCGTTTTAGGTAGGTATCGGGCTTCAGCCCAACTCAGATCTTTGTCAGGCTGTAGGCCTGCATAGTACCAGCAAAAGCGCCAATCGAGTTTAGGATTTAGTGTTTAGGGTTTAGGAACCCTAAACCCTAAACCCTAAACCCCTAAACCCTAAACCCTAAACGGGGTGGACTTTGGTAACCTCGAACAATTCACTTCGGACCCTGGCTGCTGGCACAGGTGCTACATGCGGAATGCGACAGCCATCCCTTCCGAGATGCTGATTGAGGTCTCTTGCGGTTGAGGATTCAGGGTTTAAGGGGGAGGGGGAGGGGGGTAGTGGGTCTGAAGGTCTTGTTGGAATGGTGTCGCCGGTTGTAATAGTGCTGCATGGACATGATCACTGTCGTTGTTTATGCTGTTTGTTGAGAGTTTAGCGTCTCATCACTGATCTTAAAGATGAAACTAGGAACAGCAAGAAGCATGTTTGGTGTGAACCATGAACTGGCTCTGCCATGCCATAATCATCACGAGTAGCGTGTATGCGGAGCTGTTGCATATATCTTACTACAGCGTGGCAAAATCTGCGTATTCTGGCTCCTCTTTGCCAGGTTGTTGTTCATTTACCTAAACCTTAAACCCTAAACTTAAACCCTAAACCCTAGCCATAAACCCTAAACCCTAAACCCTAACCCTAAATCCTAAACCGTCCCGAAGCGCTACACCGTCACACCCTCGTTGCAGACAGCAGAGTGGAGCTCCCAAGCACCACTCCGAGAGGTGTCACCGCAGTTCTACCATCCCGACAAGCCACGGGCTCAGCTGAGGGTTTCGAGCTTTAAAACCTTAGGGTTCAGGCTTGAAGGTTTGAAGGCTTCGGGCTTAGGATTCTGGCAGCACGACTTGTGTGGGATTCTTCTTGTGGGGTTACATGCCTCTGTCTTACAAAAGACTTCGTGGGCATTCCGCTGTCGCTGGCGCTTGTCATAGAGTGGGCAACTCTTACTGCTTGCAGACCGTGGCCCGTGAGTGAGATGTTGTGATTAGGAGATGAAGATGGGCGAGTTTGTTCTTTCTAAGACACGAGAGCTGCTCAAGCATGAAATCCACGGAAAGAGAACCCTCCCAGCCAGGTGCAAACTCCACGAGCAGGCGCGGAAAATCCTCCGACGGGTACGGCTGACGCCGAAGAGCCCCCGCCTGAAGCCAAAGAGGCCGGGGCAGCAGAGGGGTGCAGCTGGTGGATGTGTGGGATGATTGGCTAGATCAGTTTCGGGCTCCTTGTTATAATTATTGCACCCATGTTAGTGTTGTCAAGTCGATGACGACAAGGAAGATGATTAGGATGGTTACGGCAAGGTTGACGATGTTGATGCTAAGATGGCTAAACCGAAGACGACGATGGCGATGACGGTGTTGTTACTGTATGTACTGACGATTAATATCTGGATGCCGATGACGGTGCTGCTGCTGATCATGGGCAGGTGATGATGGGGAGGAAGTCCTGATGAGGAGCATGATCATGATCACGATGCCGATGGCTAAGATCATGCTCATGACCATGCTGATGATACTGATGGTGATGATGATGACGACGGTCAGACCGATGTAGATGTTCATTGTGATGATGTTCATAATGTTGACAGTGATGATCAGATTAGAATGAGCATGCAGAACGCTCCGACAAAGATTGATGGTTCTCATGTGTTTAGGTGGCCGTAGTCGGTAATGGCATGTTCTTGGCAGTTGCTGTATTGTTTTCAACAATTAACATGCTACCTGATACGATATCATATTGTAGTATACACTCTACTATAGTCACTGCTCCCATGTGATTTAAGACCCGAAGATGATAGAAACTGCCAGGCCAAAGTGATTTGGGCGCTTCAGGCTCGCTGCAAGCTCTTGCCTGCCTTCAGAGTTTTTGGAGATTTCAGGGTATACGGTATAGTAGTATAGCGCTCCGACTACCTACTAGTATTTGGCGGGTTTGGGCGTCCAACCCGGCAGCTGCTGAGGCTGCTGCTGAGAAGACGACAACGATATCGACGATAGCTATGCTACTGCGACGGCTGCGGCAACGACATAGTTAGCTTAGGAGGATCCTTCATGCGGGGCCTGTTTGCGTTTTTAGGGCCTGGGCTACTAAGCCCATCTAAGCCCTTACAAGATCCCTTATGGTTGCCTATAGAAAATCCCACTCTTCGGGACCTAAACTCAAAACCCACACCCTTGCCTTAGGTTTTGGACTGTTTGGTGCCAGTGCGGTGCAGGTGCGGCCTTCGCCGTCGCTGTTTGAGCACGGAGAGGCTGCACCAGGAGGCCCTCCGAGGTCGAAGATGAGAGCGAAGCAGACCGAGGTTAGTACCTATGGGTGGTTGTCAACAATCGGGTCCCTTTTTGGGTCCTTATTATAATACGGCACCTATTATTTAGGGTACCCCAAAAGGGGCCATAATTTTGACAACCACCAGTATAGTCTCCATTGTGGTTTCTTTGTTGGGGTTTGCTTTACATGATCCTAACTATAAAACGGCTAAACCAAAAAAGGCAACTACAATGGAAACCATAGGTCGATTTCGGGTCACATATCTGGGTATCCTCATGTTAAAGTGCAGAGATCCTACTACTTCAGGTCTGTTTCGGGTCCCTGCTGCAACTCCTCGGTTTAGGGTTAAGGGCTGCAAACGGATTTAAGCTTAAGGTCGTCTATACATGGAGAGCCCAGAATTCAAGCCCGACCCCTAAGCCTTAGCCCTGAACCCTGAAGAGTTTACGGTTCCGGGGCCGTTTTTCGGACAAGTCAATTACTCGTGTGTTTCGCGGCAAGTGCTACATCTTGGCTGGGAGCAGATCTTCGCATATAGCATCCGGCTGGAGAACCCTTGGACGTGAATCCTAAGTTAAAGCTAAAAGCCCTGATTAAGTCCTAAAAGACTTTAAGACGTAAATCCCTAGAACTAAGGCCTTGCACCCTGTAAATTGCAAATCCTAAGACCTTAACCTTAAACTATTACTAAGTCAGGCTATAAGTACCTTAATTGGGGTTGTAAGTATAGATACCTTGTTTATAACCCTATAGTTACTAAGTCCCATGATCCTTGAAGCAAATCCTTGCCGCCCTCCACCCAGAATGTCCAATCTGCCGAGACAGAAGCGAGGCCCACGAAAGAGCTGTCTAGATCGAGTGCACAAGCCTGAACAATTGTTCCTCGGACATCCTTGCTTGAACTATATTACAATATGTCCCTAAGCCCTTTTCGAACGAAGGCCTTTTTCAATCCCCTCATGTAATCCGACATGGTACTCTGAAAAGGAGTCCTCGTAAAATCATTAGAAGGCCCCCATGTTAAAACCGTCATCTCCTCCCAGTCTCATCGATTTTTCGGCCTGACTTCGTGATGAGAAAGGCTACGAAAAAAATCGAGCGCCGGCCGTTAAGGCTCCTAGGTTTTGTAGGGCTTTGGGTTTGGTGTTTTTGGCAAGTTCAGGCAAGGTTTAGGCTTAGCTTTCAAGATGCCTTTCATGTGCTGCCAGTGTGACCATATCAAAGACTCAAAGACTTGTGTTTTTTGTCTATGGCTTTCCTTCTTGGCAAGTCTGCGCATCGTGACGGCTGCACGCCCAACCGCCAGAGACCGCTTGAACAGTGGTCGTTAGAAGGGGCCCCCACCCTGTAATAGGGGTATAATAGGAATATAATGGGGCCCTAATATCCTTATAGTCACTATTACAGGGTGGGGGCAGCTTCTAAAGTGGTCGGGTTTGGGTTCAGGGGCTTAGCGGGCTCAGTGTCAGCTTGTGCTTCGTGTAGCCATGGTTTAGGGTTCAGCGTCTGCTTGACTGGCTTGGCCGCATGTCCTCCTTGAACCCTAAACCCCTAAATAAGGAATATTCGTTTTGTTTAAGGGATATTGGAGTTGCCTTAGACCCTTTTGTAGATGCCCTATAGATCCCTTTAAAGGAACCCTTAAGGATCCCTTTAAAGGAACGTCTAAAAACCCTAAATAAACCTTCATGTTTCATTGGGGTCTGGTCTTTCTTGAGAGGGCCTTTCCAGTCTGGTCCGTATGGTCTGCTTGTCTGTCTTTTCAGCGGGAAGGCACGGTTTAAGGTTTAGGGTTTAGGGTTTAAGGTTTAGGGTTTAGGGTTTAAGGTTTAGGGTTGAGCAGCACAGATCATCATGGCTCATGATAGTTCCATGCTGGTCTAGCAGCTTCGTAAGACCACGACAACACGGCTCTGACCCCCGTTATGTGACGTTCTTACAACTAGAGTGCTACACCGAAATCCCTAAGCATTCAATGATTCACCCCAGCCGTGACAGGTGTGCGGCTCCACGCAGCGCTGATCAAGCAACACGCTTCAACGCTTCCGAAGTAGACTCTAACATAAGGGCCTGTAGTATAATGGGTCCAAAAACCCTATTCTGATTATTTAAGGCCCCTACATTCGACTCTGAGCCACCAGAAGCTCTCGCTTGGCCAGTCTACGAACATCAGGCAGAATTCGTCGGAAGAAGAATGGAGGCCACCAACTCAGCGCCCCTCTCCGTGAACCCACAAGACTGCGCAAAGAGCACAGCATCCGTACCAAATCCGCAGCAACCAAGCCCGAGAAGCCCCATGACCCACGCAGCCAGCCCCCAAGCCTGTGTCTACCCCAACAAAGGTCCTTGTTCCTCTCATATCTCTAGAAAACCCTAGACTCCAAGGCTAAGCCCTACAACCTGCCCAACCAAAAGCATGGCGCAAGCTGATGAGATGTTCGCTCCAGCCGAGCAGCAGGCAGAACGACGGCAAATTGGGGGTTCACTAATATGGGGGCATCAATAATTACCTATGTTTAGAGTTTTGGGTTGTTTCAAAAGGGGCAATAGGTGGGGGAATCTGCGATAAGCATTCTTGGTTAAGGGGTCCTCAATCCTACCTACAACATCCCACCTTTTGAGGCCCTGGTAAGCTAGATGCCTGATAATCTGATAATAATTAGACTCTAACGGACCCCAAAGAACAATTCCAATTGGTAAGGCCTGTATCATTCAGTTTTCAGTGTTGTGGCGTAAGCCGCTGTTGACGGGTCAAGTGTTCGACAGTGTTGGGTTCTTGCTTTGGGCTCAAAGTCTGTTGAGATGGGTGGGTCTTCGGGCTCGGGGCTAGCTTGCGGGCGTGAGTTCGGGTTTGCTTAGCTTAGGGCTCATGGGTGCATCCGGGTTAGGATGCTGTACACCGCGCCGGTGGAAGCCAGAATCTGCAATCTGAAACGTTGCAAAAACCACAACCGAACTCTACCCTGAGCTCCCCTGTAAGCTGTAAACAAAAGGCGAAGAATTCTGTAAGTCGCCAAGTCAGAGGCCATCGATGTGCAGCCCCCCAGCGCGCAGGAGCTCAGGAGGGGCGCTTCAAGCTGCTGCTACGGTTTTTTGGGATATAACCGGGTTCATATAGCTATAGGTTTACATGGTTTGTAGAGGGCTTATACATGGGTTCATATAGGTTTCATATGGATGTAAGGGTTTTTCGGTTGAGGGGATCTGAGTAACTTTCAAGTACGGGTTACAACTGCTTAGTCGGGATTCTCGGCATGCGTCGCGTATGGCTGGGCGCTGCAACAAGTACTCGAAGCCACGTCCGCGCTACTCGTTTATCTCCCCTGGCTGCTACATCAGAGTGTACGTCTTAAGTGTGTAGACCCAGCTTGTTGGCAACTGGATTCGACTCGCTTTCGTATCCTGCAGAAGAACCAAGCTTTCTGTTTAGGGGTTTTAGACTAGGGTTAAGTATATGACAATATTGTCTCTGACCTCCTTCAAGGTGTAGCCGCTCTTTACTCTTACAGTACTTGCGCCATACGTACTACTACAGACTTTTTTGATCGGGGAACACGCTACAGAAGGAGAATCGTTTGTGTGTGTGTGTGGCCCGGCGGGGTGGATCACATCAGTGCACAACCATGGATTATCTAACACATACAATGTGTACATACACATCTACGTTTTCTTCTACATAGAGACATGGAGATAGCAAGGGCGAGGGAAGTCGGTAGTTCGACTTTTCGCATCTGACCCTGTCGAGTCCCCAGAAAATCTGTGGAAACCGCTAGAATTGTTATTTAGGGTTTAGGGTTAGGGTTTATAAGGTTTAGGGTTTAGGATTTAGTAATCGGGTTTAGGGTTTCGGGTTTGGGGTTTAGGATTTAGGGTTTAGCGTTGTTCTTGTCCAGAAGGCTCCGAATCTGTCCCGCGAGGCTGATGTTCAAGGCCTTCGGCGATGCCAAGGATCGCTGGAAGATCGATGGTGCCACCATGAAGGCTGCCAACACTTCCAGGTAGAGTGGGGGTTTTATAATCAATTATCTAATTCATTAAGGATTTGGGTTTAGATTTCATAGATAAGTATCTGATTAATTCGGGATTTGGGTTTAGATTTCATACTTAATTATCTGGCTAATTAGGGATTTGGGTTTAGAGGTTTCGAATTGGGAGCATAGGGTTTCCGTTTTGAGGTTTGAAGAGTTGCACTTGCCTCCGTAGCCTTACAGATGCACGTTTCGGTTCTACCTACCCAGAGGCTCCACAACTAGTAGTTGCTTTTCGGGATTCCCTTATAGGATTCTAAGTATGAACCCAAAAAGGAAGTACTATGGAGCCTCGAGGTAGAGTCTCCATTGTAGTCCCCAAAAACCTGTCAGCGCGCAAAACACAGCCTGCTCGGAAGGGTGGCCAGGCCGAATCACGCGCAGTGCTGGTAGCCTTAGGGGGGTCCTTCGGGGTTCCCTTTAAGGGTTCTATGAGGGATTTATCGTGGTTTTGACATAAATGACTATGGTTAGAAATAAAGCAACCACATTTATCATTACGTATAACTCCCATCAAGGCATTTAGATACTAAGTCCCCTGATTGTCCAAGCACCCTGAAGCGCGGGCGAGCAAGAATACAAAAGCTAGCGTTGCGGTGGTGAAGATCGATACGGCGGAAGCGTTGCTTCCTTTTCCGCCACATTTCTTCACGAATTCATTGTTGCTTCATTGTCACCAGCCCAACATACCACCCTAAACAGTGAATGCTCTAGACATGGAAGCGGCTATTCTCACAAAGCCTGGAATGGAACCCTCATCCGGTTCCAAATCCTGAACCCGAAACCCTGAACTCCAAACAGGTTTTCAGGGTGTAAGGTTTAGGTTAGAGGGTTTCGGGTTTTCCCGAAACCCTACTGTAGTATAAACTGAACCCGAGCTTTGCCAAGAAGTCTGCAAGCTTGCTTGCCACCTGCCAGGGCTACTATCTGCACTCGGAAAGCGGCTACCTCTACATCTGGTAGCCTGCTTGAAGCCTGTTTAGCAGTTCTTTTTTCTTGGGTTTAGGATTTCGGTTTTGAAGTCCTGTTTGGCTGGGGAGAGCTTTGCACTGAATCTTGGTGTCGGCATTCTGGAATTTGCTGTTGAGTATACATATTCACTGTTCGATTTCACCGACTGCAAGACCGGAAGAAGGCACTGCGATATGTATAGAGGCTTACATACGTGCATGCACATGGTCCTACCAGTATTGTAACCTAGACTTGTACCTCAACATGGACCCAGTATCGCCAGGAAGACCCGGGTTGGTGGATCCTTGATTTGCGGTTCCCGACTCGCTTTCGTTGGACAGGGCGGTGCTTTTGTGCGGGGATACGGGTTCTTCGGTAGGGTTGAAGACTCAGGCGTTAAGATGTCTTCCTGGTAGTGATTCCCTCCACGCTTCCAAGCTTTAGGGTTTAAGGCTGTGGGTATAGTGTTCAGGGCCGTAAACCCTAAAGCTTAAACCCTAAACCCTAAAGCCAACCTGTAGTGAAAAGACCTACCTTCTTAGGGCTCCTTCTTATTATGGTGTTTATACAGTTCCTTAAAGACGTGGGTCTTTTCGGCTGCAGGTAAACTCTAACTTCGGCCCGAGGCACCAAGCGACCGGAGTTCTCTATGAGCATCTCCAAACTAGTGGCCAATGCCAGGCCAAAAGCTTCGGGTTGGTGTTAGGAAGTAGGGGAAGTTTTTAGGGGTTTAGGATTTAGGGTTGGGCTTAGGGTTCTGATTCCACTATAGTCTCCTTAGGTGTTAGGAAGTACTTGCAGGATCAGGGGACTTGGCAAATAAGGTTATGAAAGGAGGTTATGAAAGGGCTCCTTAAAGGGATCTATAGGGGCTCCTTAAAGGGATCTATGGGGTTGAGGGTTCAGGGAAGTACTTGGAGGATCAGGGGACTTAGCACGTAAGGTTGTAAGTCCCTCAATTGGGGTTATACGTAGCGATAAGTATAGGTACCTTGTTTAGAACCCTACCCATGATCCTTTAAGTAGTTACCCAGAGTCCCCAAGGTAGTTCGTTTTGGGGATTCATATATAGGATTCTAAATATGAACCCCAAGAAGGAACTACTATGGAGCCTCTAGGTAGGTCTCCTGAGGATTTTTTATTTTGTTCATGTAAGACCCAAGAGAACATTAAGAATATTTTTTTATTATGGTTCCAAGGGGGGTATAGGTAGAAAGTTTGAACCATGGGTTTAGTGTTTCGGGGTTTAGAGTCTGGGGTTCTGGGGTTTAGGTTTCGCAGTTAGGGGGCGGAATAGCAGCCAACATCATTCCTTAGGGTTCCTTATGCTATCAACTATACATGTACCCCCTCCCCAAAAAAGATGCACACCATGTTCGAATCATTAAGGCCCGTATATACCCAAAACTACACTTTTGCCATGGCACTCACCGGCCCAAATAGAGTGGCAATTATGTTACTTGTCGCTGAGCTGACTGGTGCTGGCGGCATTATGTTTACCGTTGTGCAGATGGTTGAAACCCTAAAGCCCTGAACGTTAAAACCCTAAACCCTAGAGCCTTAAATCCTAAACCTTCAATCTCTGCCGGTAAGCGGCAATGGGACACCCCAGCACACACAGAGCAGGCATATGGACAGACTCAAAGAGTCGAAAAACACCCTAAACCCCAACCCCAAATCGCTAAGCCTTACAGCCGCAAACTAAACCCTGATAGGCTGTTTGGTCGTCAGCTGTCCCGCAGCTAAATGCTGAGATCTGGACAGCGTTGGGCTCAGCAGAAGCAGAGCTCAGAGTTTGGGGCTTGCAGTGCAGCACTTCTAGTGACAGTAGCGTGTCTCCAAATCATAGCGGCACAGTCACGAAGGATGGTTCGATACAGGACAACGCAGTAAGAATACTGGCAATACAGTCAAGGCAATAAAAGAAGATAGGCTCAGGATCGAATCCGTGCTTGCGTGTGTGTCTGCCGCTCGCTGTATTGTCTCCTCAGTTTTGAGCCATCCTAAACCCCTTAAACCCTAAAGAACTAAACTCTATTAAACCCTAGACCCGCAAACCCTAAGACTCTAAACCCCTTAAGCCTATGGTTCACTGTTTAGACTATGAGATTCGGCTTCGCGGTGTTGGACGTGCCGGAATGCTCCTGTATATATACTGTAATATCCTATTAGGTCCTATTACATATATATATATATGTATATGTATATATATATATGCTACCCCCCCCCTCAAAGATCTATGTTTTTTGCTCTTTACTGTGCTTTTACGGCTTAAACAGTAAACCGAGGTTGACCTGAAACAACAAGCCCTTGAACCTAGCACCCTGACTTGACACACCCAAAGAACCTTGTAAACCTCCACGCGACAAATAGACGCCTGAAACGTTCGCCAGAAAGCCTCCCCGAAACAAAATAAGCAACAGTTAGCCCGAAAGCCCCGTGAAACCTATTCTAAAACTGTCAGCCTGTCAGCCCGAAAGCTTCTAAAACAGTTAGCCCGAACGCCTCCTTGAAACCTAATCTGAAACAGGTAGCCCCAAAGCCATCTTGAAACCTACACCGCCAAATCACTAGCCTTTAACAGCATCCGTGGGGGCTGTCTGTGCAGCAACTTGGGCTGCGCGGTTTATGATTGAAGCAAACGATGCTCATGATGCTTTATAGGGGGAACAGCCAACTTACAACCTGACGTCCTGCAGCGGAATCCTTGCATTACATTCACACAGACCACAATGTGATGTTTATGAAAAGTTGAAAGAAAACAACTGAAGCGTTAGATAAAAAGGGTGTTTAATTTAGTTAAACTGTACACACCACATGAACGGAAAAATCCATTGACAAGTTACTGCATTAAAGGACAGGGAAAAAGGAGTAACATGACCGTTTGCAATTAGTTAAAGGTAAGGGATACACGCTTTTATTCTGCTAAAGTTTGTCTTGTTTTGCTTGTTTCCGTTACCTTTAATTCCTATTTGTCTACCTTTCCGAATGCAAGGTTTATAAGCCAAAGAAACTAAAAAGGTAAGAAACAAAAGGAACCAACAGACAAATGAAGTGAATGAAATGAGAGACTTGCAGGCTTCTGTGTTCTCTGTTTTTGTTCTTTTCCCTTCGAACTCGTTCCTGTACGCTTTCATTCAATTGGATTCATTCCGCTCACTTTGTTCCCTCCATTCATTACACTACATTCAGCGACGTGAAGGACGAACGAAGCCCCAAAAACACAATTTAATGCAGTGAAAGGAACAAAACAGCAAGGACATGTGCGTCGTTTTATGCTTCATTTCACTACGTTTAGTTGCGTCGTGTGGCTTAGTTACTTTTTCGTTCGCTTTTTTAGGTGTCTTCAGGTGCTTTATTAAATTCCAATACGGAATACCCAATAACACAAACGGAAGAAGAACAAACCAAGACATAAAGTGAGTAGTTTGAATGCATTTTACTTAGTAGAAGGAACAGAAGCGAAGTGAAATGAATGCCTGCTTTGATGGAGAACTGAATGTTGATTCCATTCCCTTTTGTCTGTCGTTCTTTTATTACGCAGAAACCGAAGCAAGAAGAACGACAACAACAAGAGCACACAGGCAAAGGATACAACATCAGAAGGCAGCGGCGGGTGGGTGTAAGGCGCATGCTTAGGTTGTTGCTTCGTTTGGCTCAATCCAAGTACGCATGCTTTATCTTTACTTGCATAAACGTGCCAAAGAACAACGACCCACCGCACATTACATTCACTTCATTCTTAATCTCACGGTCACCTCTCCTGTCTTCATGTCACACACTAGAATGAGAAGGTAATAGTGTGAAGCGAACCCAGAGACGCCGTGAATTAATTTCAATGGAACGCTGTGGAAGCGTGAATTAAGTGAAACAAAGCTTCCGTTCGTTCTTCGTTCTGTGCTGCGTGTTTAAAATCAACAACAAGGCTCGCTTTGTCATTGTCGTTGTTGCAGTCAACTACATACAAGAGCCAGAACTAACTTCACAGACCTCTGCCACTCGTCTCTCAGCGGCTAGCGTGGCAAAAAATTCAACTCAATGAAAAGAAACGTAAACAAAGTGCACGGTATCTTCTTCCATAGATTTGGCCTTTTGTGCACGATTTTCCGGTTTCAATTTGATTACTTTGAAGCAAAAAGGCATATGCACATGTAGACTGCCGCAGACGTGCACATGCAGACTGTCACAAGAGCCGTGGAGATAACAAAACCAAGAAAGGCAGAGGACCACATTGAAGTATTGAAACACGTTGAATTTCAAGATTGCGTGGGTCTGCTGGGAGGAATCTTAGATTCAGGGACGGCCATATTGAAATATTGAGGCCATATTGAATTTCAATATGGCGGATCCAAGATCCAAGATCCAAGATTGCACGGGACTCCTGGGAGGAATCTTGGATTCAGGGACGGCCATATATATATTGAAATATTGAAGCCATATTGAATTTCAATATAGCGGATCCAAGATCCGATCCAAGATTCCTCCCCAAGAGCCCTGGGGAATCTTGGATCTTGGATCTTGGATCCGCCATATTGAAACTCAATGTGGCAGGGGGCCATATTGAAATATTTGGCCACATTGGGTTTCAATATGGTCGGTCTTTGCGGTCATGAGGAGTTGATCTGAGATACGCGAGTGGAGGGAAGGGGGGTGCGAGCAATCATGAGGAGTCGATCGTGAGTGGAAGGACGGTCATGAGGAGATGGTAATGAGTGGAAAGAACTGAAAACAGCTTAAATACATAGATCTTGGGGGGGGGGGGGGGGGGGGGGGACCATATAGCTACCCCCCCCCTCAAAGATCTATGTTTTTTGCTCTTTACTGTGCTTTTACGGCTTAAACAGTAAACCGAGGTTGACCTGAAACAACAAGCCCTTGAACCTAGCACCCTGACTTGACACACCCAAAGAACCTTGTAAACCTCCACGCGACACATAGACGCCTGAAACGTTCGCCAGAAAGCCTCCCCGAAACAAAATAAGCAACAGTTAGCCCGAAAGCCCCGTGAAACCTATTCTAAAACTGTCAGCCTGTCAGCCCGAAAGCTTCTAAAACAGTTAGCCCGAACGCCTCCTTGAAACCTAATCTGAAACAGGTAGCCCCAAAGCCATCTTGAAACCTACACCGCCAAATCACTAGCCTTTAAAAGCATCCGTGGGGGCTGTCTGTGCAGCAACTTGGGCTGCGCGGTTTATGATTGAAGCAAACGATGCTCATGATGCTTTATAGGGGGAACAGCCAACTTACAACCTGACGTCCTGCAGCGGAATCCTTGCATTACATTCACACAGACCACAATGTGATGTTTATGAAAAGTTGAAAGAAAACAACTGAAGCGTTAGATAAAAAGGGTGTTTAATTTAGTTAAACTGTACACACCACATGAACGGAAAAATCCATTGACAAGTTACTGCATTAAAGGACAGGGAAAAAGGAGTAACATGACCGTTTGCAATTAGTTAAAGGTAAGGGATACACGCTTTTATTCTGCTAAAGTTTGTCTTGTTTTGCTTGTTTCCGTTACCTTTAATTCCTATTTGTCTACCTTTCCGAATGCAAGGTTTATAAGCCAAAGAAACTAAAAAGGTAAGAAACAAAAGGAACCAACAGACAAATGAAGTGAATGAAATGAGAGACTTGCAGGCTTCTGTGTTCTCTGTTTTTGTTCTTTTCCCTTCGAACTCGTTCCTGTACGCTTTCATTCAATTGGATTCATTCCGCTCACTTTGTTCGCTCCATTCATTACACTACATTCAGCGACGTGAAGGACGAACGAAGCCCCAAAAACACAATTTAATGCAGTGAAAGGAACAAAACAGCAAAGACATGTGCGTCGTTTTATGCTTCATTTCACTACGTTTAGTTGCGTCGTGTGGCTTAGTTACTTTTTCGTTCGCTTTTTTAGGTGTCTTCAGGTGCTTTATTAAATTCCAATACGGAATACCCAATAACACAAACGGAAGAAGAACAAACCAAGACATAAAGTGAGTAGTTTGAATGCATTTTACTTAGTAGAAGGAACAGAAGCGAAGTGAAATGAATGCCTGCTTTGATGGAGAACTGAATGTTGATTCCATTCCCTTTTGTCTGTCGTTCTTTTATTACGCAGAAACCGAAGCAAGAAGAACGACAACAACAAGAGCACACAGGCAAAGGATACAACATCAGAAGGCAGCGGCGGGTGGGTGTAAGGCGCATGCTTAGGTTGTTGCTTCGTTTGGCTCAATCCAAGTACGCATGCTTTATCTTTACTTGCATAAACGTGCCAAAGAACAACGACCCACCGCACATTACATTCACTTCATTCCTAATCTCACGGTCACCTCTCCTGTCTTCATGTCACACACTAGAATGAGAAGGTAATAGTGTGAAGCGAACCAAGAGACGCCGTGAATTAATTTCAATGGAACGCTGTGGAAGCGTGAATTAAGTGAAACAAAGCTTCCGTTCGTTCTTCGTTCTGTGCTGCGTGTTTAAAATCAACAACAAGGCTCGCTTTGTCATTGTCGTTGTTGCAGTCAACTACATACAAGAACCAGAACTAACTTCACAGACCTCTGCCACTCGTTTCTCAGCGGCTAGCGTGGCAAAAAATTCAACTCAATGAAAAGAAACGTAAACAAAGTGCACGGTATCTTCTTCCATAGATTTGGCCTTTTGTGCACGATTTTCCGGTTTCAATTTGATTACTTTGAAGCAAAAAGGCATATGCACATGTAGACTGCCGCAGACGTGCACATGCAGACTGTCACAAGAGCCGTGGAGATAACAAAACCAAGAAAGGCAGAGGACCACATTGAAGTATTGAAACACGTTGAATTTCAAGATTGCGCGGGTCTGCTGGGAGAAATCTTAGATTCAGGGACGGCCATATTGAAATATTGAGGCCATATTGAATTTCAATATGGCGGATCCAAGATCCAAGAACCAAGATTGCACGGGACTCCTGGGAGGAATCTTGGATTCAGGGACGGCCATATTGAAATATTGAAGCCATATTGAATTTCAATATAGCGGATCCAAGATCCGATCCAAGATTCCTCCCCAAGAGCCCTGGGGAATCTTGGATCTTGGATCTTGGATCCGCCATATTGAAACTCAATGTGGCAGGGGGCCATATTGAAATATTGGCCACATTGGGTTTCAATATGGTCGGTCTTTGCGGTCATGAGGAGTTGATCTGAGATACGCGAGTGGAGGGAAGGGGGGTGCGAGCAATCATGAGGAGTCGATCGTGAGTGGAAGGACGGTCATGAGGAGATGGTAATGAGTGGAAAGAACTGAAAACAGCTTAAATACATAGATCTTTGGGGGGGGGGGGGTACCATATATATATATATATATATATATATATATATATATATATTGTATGTATATATATATATATGTATGTATGCTAATATGTATATATGTATGTGTATATATATATATATGGCCAGTTTGCGTTCTGACTTCTAAGACCTCCACTGTCCTGGCTGCGTCCTGGAAGTTAATGCATGGACGACAAGCAGTAAAGACGTCAATAACAACAGCAGAGACAGTTTTTTATGTGTAAGACGAGACTGATACATGTCGGTCGTTTTATTGTGATCGGAATTTGTACATGTCATTGTCTGTACATATATGCGCAGATGCAGATGGATAGATCGATTGACGAAGAGAGGCGGAGAGAGTCAGATGCAGGCTTGCACATTGTAGGAACGATCAAGAAATCTTGGCCTTGTAGCCCCAATAGATTAGGGCTCATACACAGAACCCGAATAAAGACCCAGGGTTTCTTAATCAGGTTCCTATGTTAGCCAGGAAACGCAACTCTTGGTCAGCTTATTCGATTTATGGGCTTGGGCTTGTTAGGCCCATTAAATGGGCCCCATTTGTGTAAGGAGTTGAAGTGTTTAGGATTTAGGCTTAGATATGTCTGCAGGTTTTCATTCTAGGGCTGTCTGCTGTTCGGCTTAGAGTGCAAATGTAAGGGCTCATTTCAGGCAGAAGTTTGATCAGTATCAAGGCCATGCTACGTCAATTTTACTGACGCGTTGGTGTCGTCAACCGTGCAACGGCATCTGATGCCCTCGTTGCCATTGTCATTTGCCATCATCCTGAGCGTCATCACTGCTGTCAGATATCACGCATGCCGTATGCCCTAACATTGTTATCGGCATGCAGCACCAGCCATGGGAAACATGTACCCGACACGGTACCGAAATCTACAGGCACTTCAACCTGCCGTTGTTTCAGCACCCTTGCTATCATGAGCATTTTGACACACACCACCTAGAGTCAAGCAAACATTACTCTCCCTTGCTCTCGCTCTCTACCGGGTGATCCTACATATCTTCATCCTCGTCCGAAATATCCACTCCTCAGGTGCTTCCGCTGCCGCCGACAGATCCGGCGAGCATGCAGGCCCCAGCGCATCCCCACGACATCCCTTTAGGGTTTTAGAGTTTAGGGTTTCTTGAGTTCAGCGTTTTAGAGCTTAGGGTTTGTTGGTGGCAGTGAGTGGATAGGGCCAAGTCTGGGGGGTTTGGGGTTGACCCGAAACCCCGAACACCAGGTCGAGGAAGCTGCCTCCCTCCCCTTTCAGCGCTTTTCTTGGCACAGAAAGTCATTGAAGGGCTCGACGCTGCAGATTTCTAGGGTTTGTAGGGGTTTGGGGTAGCAGCATACCGAGAAGCTGTGCTTCAGAGCCATCGGCATGTATGTAGCGGAGTCCCAGCATCAGGACATCCACTTGCCTCGATATGAATCTGGGAGGAGACATTTAAAAGCTCCGTGACATTACCACATCTTAGGAACATACGGCCATGTTCTGCCACAACCTACTCTTGGTGCGCCACTGTGAAGTCGATCTTCGGCTTATCGAAATCCTACGAAACATGCATCATAGTGGGTTAAAGTAGGGGCTATATGGGTTACTATGGGGGCCTAGATAATTACCAATGCTGTCTTGGAGGTTCCGTATTGTAATTAATTGTAGTACAATGGGCCCCAAAACCCTATTCTAGTTATCAAGGCCCATATTGTAGGTTGCGGACATGGCCCACCTGATCCAGGCGAGCAGCGTGGCAAACGGCGAGCTGCCAAACATCGACGTCTTCGTGAACCTCACCATCGCGCATGAGGCGTCTGTTCCCGATTCGGCACCAAGTGAGAGACTAGACTCATGAAAGAAGTGCCCACAAGCCTGCAACCGAAGGAGAGGGAGAGAGCACGCACACGCGAAGTAAGAACTGACGCAGTTGCGTACTGCCTAGCCCAGGACCTGAACATGCTACTACACATAGGCTCCAAATGGGATTACTTATTAAAGGATCCTAGATATGCAAAAAGGAACTACTATGGGGCCTCTGGGTAGTCACCTCCGAATCAACCGGACCGGATGTCCACATGTGCGATCAAGATTTCTGAAAGCTCAAGTCCTACACCGGACTTTTGCTCTTTGACCTGCTAGGCCGACAAGCAGATCCCAACAGATTTGCTGCAGGCCTTGATCTGTGGGGTTCCACAACAGTCAGGGGATTTATGGGGATTTGGGTTCAGTCCGGGTTGAGGGTTTAAACGGGAAGTAGGCATTTTTCGGCGATCCGGGTTCGAGTGGGATGGTCTCCTTGTATGAGTATTTCATGATCTTGAAGCTAGATTCATCTCCGGCATTTTTCACGCGGCGAGACCATTGTATTAGAAAACCAAGCTACGTTTCTAGTCCTTGATGGATGGAATATTACATCTCGCGTCTTGCTTACATGCCCCCTTTGTGTGCCTGCGTTGCACTGACAGGGAGCTGATATCTTCCGGAGGACCTGGAGTTGTTGTTCCGGGCCGCGGGCATGGACCAGATGGCTGGGCCCTCTTCTTACCTTTGGTTAGTAGGGAATGGAGGAATGGGGTACAATTATAGCTACTATTACTACCATATAACTACCATATTACTATCATATTACTACCATATTACTACTATATAACTACCATATAACTACTATTACCTGCATTCTTCCATTCCCTCCTAACCAAAGGTAGGTCTTGGATTCGGGAGCTTCGCACCCCTTCCTCAATGCAGTCGATGCCACTGAGTTTGGAAAGGCCAAGACGGTTGGTGTTGAGTTAGCAGATGGCCAGATGGTTGAGCTTAAGCAGACGAGCAAGGGTACGCTGCTCGAAGAAAAGGGAAGCAATCCCTAGGCGCCAATACTTGGAGGGCCAGGGACTTAGTAAGTCGTTTATAAGTAGGGTTATAATTGGGGTAACTCCATTTAGGGCAGTTATAACTCTACTTATAACCTACTTACTAAGTCCCCTGCCCCTCCAAGTAGTGCCACTTGGTTGCCTTGTTCAGCAGCTTGGGGGCTCGATCCACCGGTCACGGCGCCAGGGACTTCAGGTAGCCCACCCCGTCCATGGCAATCTACAGGTCAAGATGAAGGGCAGCTTGGAGCTGGATTCTCTTCGACTGATTGCCGAGATCGAGGACAAGAGCCTGGAGCAGTTGCAACAAACTACAATGAGGAGTCTGTGGGCTTCAGCGTCCTCCTCCCCTCCATTGTCCTGGAATGCAAGCTTAGATGTCTATGAGAACACTGGCGTGACAAGCAACGCATTGGCAGACCCCAACTTCCCCATCAGTTCGTACTCGCGCAGCTTTGGCCGATGTGGCCACATCCCACTACACAGCGACTTCACGAAGTGTGTGTGGCAGTCCTGTAACCCTAAGCCCTGGAGCTTAATCTCCCAACCGACAAACCCTTCAGACCTGTCAAAGACTCAGTCTGATCTATTTGATAATACCGGGTTTGGGGTTTTAGGGCATTTTTGCTAGAGGGGTTTGGGGTGCATGCTTCGGAGATCCAAGGCTGGACTTCGGAGTTCCAAGGGTAAGTTGCGGGATGCACATCTATTTATGATGCTTGCCCAGTTTCTTGTGCTCGCCGGCTAAGCCTTACACACTAAACCCTATGTCCCGTTATATTATAAGAGTGAGAACCCAAACGCCTTATTCTAATTGCTACAGCCCATAGGTTGCGGTTCTAACTCTTGAGTCTTTCGAGATGGCAAGTCTCAGGCTGCCAGGACCTTCCCTGCGATTGAGAAGATGAGTCTGGTAATGATTTTGAAGTACAACAGTTTGTTAAAGCAGTCTAGCCCCTAAGCCCTCAACCCAAAGCAAACTTAGGGTTCAGTTTTGAAATAGCGTTTACAGCATTCGGGTTGCAGCTTGCATTAAGTCAGGCACGGGAGACGTGCCGGTGGAGGATTTAGGATGTGGGGCTTAAGGCTTCGGCCCTACTGACAGGGCTTTTATTGGCTTGGTGTTTTGGATTCAGGTAGGGTTTGGGGCCACTTGACAATGACAGCTGCTCCCACCTGTGGAGAGCTATGCTTACCATTTCTTTCCCGTCTGCTATGTCGTTGTTTCAGCCCGGAAGCCCTAAACCGCGGACAGCTGGACTCTCGGCGCCAGGCAAAACACACAACGTGTTGATGCCTAGAGGAGACCGACGACAACCCCAACTCCAAACTCTAAACACTCACTTCTACACCCAGACAAGAAGCCCTGACGGCCTTGACGATGTTCATCTTTAGGCAGAGCAACGTCTGACTGATCCCATCCCATGGCTGTGCGCCGCCCCCACTCAACAACACTACAGACTCTGAGGGCTGCCATAAACACCACGACGAATATGATAGCAACGCACGCAGAGAGAGAGAGGGGTATACCTAAACAAGCAAAGCAGTATAATGTGTACATACATACACAATACACACACACACACACATATATATATATATATATATATACACATGTATATATGGATTTGTCTGATACACACATTACAAGAATAAATGTAGATGTGTGAATCTCCCCCCCCCCCCCCTCCCCACCCCCGCCTACCTCAAAGAAGAAAACACACCAAGTCCTGGGAGTGCCAGGCGGCCGTTGAAGAGTTCACCACCCGGTGGGAGCTCAGACCCCAGGCCCTACGCTCTTGGCTAAAGAGGCTACTACAGGGGCCTAAATTTCTACCTATACTATTTGTTTTTGTTTGTTTTGATTATTTTTTTGAGGGGGGGGGGGGGGTCGTTATTGTAGTTTTAGTCTCATGGGCCCCAAAACCCTATTCTAATTATTAAGGCCCCCATAATATGCTTTTGGCTAAAGAGGTTAGGGTCGGTTAGAGGGTAGGGGTTTCAGGTTTCGGGTTTAGGGGTTGAGTGTTGGGGGTTGCCAGGGTGTACTTGGAGGATCAGGGGACTTAGTGACTGAGTAAGTAAAGCTATAAGTACCCTAACCCTGGTTACTAAGTCCCCCGATTCTTTAAGTAGGGTCTTTGGGCTCAGGAGTGGACGGCTGCCCTCGTGGTCTCTTTTATGTTGTTCAGGCGATAGTGAAGACTCCAACCGTGGTGCTGCTGCTTATGACGGTATGATGACGGCGATGATGATGGTGAGGGTGAGGACGATGAAGATGAGGGTGTTGATGATAATACTGCTGATGATGATGTTGATGATGTTGATGGTGGTGATGGTTGGTGATGGTGATGATGTTGGTTATGTTGTTGATGATGATGTTGATGACTCGGCCATTGATTGTTTGTTGATATATGCACAGACACACGATTCAGGGTTTGTGGGGTTTGGGGGTGCTAGTCCCGCTTCACCAGCAAGATTCAGGGTTTCAGAGTTTCAGGTGCAAGCTTTGTAGCAGGATGTCAGACGATCTGCACTTCAATGCGGCGGAACTCACGTTTAAGCTTGCATTTTCGAGTTTCCTTTGCCTTCGACTGTTCCTGCTAGAAAACCCGAACGCAAGTTCCACAGGGTATCGGCAGTTCCAACAGCATCCTGTTCAGTAGATATTATTTACACAGAAAAATATGGGGATTTCCGAAAATAGGGGACCCTAAGATAGTACCCTAAATAGTAGGATCCTCATCATAAGGGCCCCATAATAAGGTACCCCTAATTTCGGAAACTCCCATATGGAACCTTGACCCTCAACACAAAACCAACACCGCTTCAAATGCACAACCCTTGACCTTCTTAAAGGATCAAGGGACTAAGTAACTGGGGTTATAAATAAGGCAACTATACCTATGATTACTTGTAGCCCAATTAGGGGACTTATAGCCTTACTTACTAAGTCCCCTGACCCTCCAAGTGAGCCTGTGAGAATCTAAGCGGACACAGGCTGCGCGCAGGATCACGAAGCTGCCCCCTGCAGGCACGGGCATTAGCTTACTTCCCTTGTAATCTAAGCCTTATTCAAGGTATTACGATCGCAATGGTCTCACAGGAGCCTTTGCCGTAGACCCTGAATCCTAAACCTTGTTCTGATCATGAAGACCCTCACGCGAAGCATCATGAAGCCCTTTGGCAATCGCTTGATCAAGGAATGTGCCAACGGCGGAGGCTTCCTTAGCATTTGGGTGTATAGGGTCTAGGACACGTGCGTGTATGCATACATCACATTGCATATCTATGTATATATATATATATAGACATATATATATATATATACACAGCTATCTGTATGTGTATATATATACACACACTAGATATGCCTATCTATATATATATATATAGGTATATTGAAATAAGGAATTCTGCAACTGTTTGTTTCCCAGGTTTCAAGTATGCCTACCCCAACCCCTCCTAGACTCTAAATCCTACACCTTAAACCGTGAATCCCAAACTCACCTCAAACCAAACTGAGTCAAACCTGCTAGCCTACGCCGAAGAGTAGAAGGCGTCTTCTGGAAAATCTTTCTGCTTCTGGTGCTTTTGGTGTTCTAGAGTTTAGGGTACTGGGGGATGAAGGTTTACGGTGCAAGGGTTTGGCGGTTCAGGGTTTGGGATTACACACAGAGTTGCAATCGCATTGAGGGCTGGGCAGATTGAGATTTAAAGTCAGCAGGCAGCGTTCAGGATTCAGGGAGCAGGGATCTGAACCGCAAGCGTCTCAACCCAAAAGCCTGAAGATGATCCTCAACACTGAGACCGGGGTTCTAAGTTACCGTCATGATCATATGCCGTTTTAAGTAATGACAGTCATGAACACCCTCAACCACCGAACCCTTTGCAACCCCAAGCCCCCAAAACCCTAAGCCTTTAACCCCTAAGCCGCCAAATTCTAAGCCTTGTAGAACCCTTTCCAGCAACCTTAAACCCTGCAAAGTAGCCGGTGGGGAAGGGGTCCTCATTAAAGCAGTTATATAGTAAGGAACCCCAAAAAACCAATTATACTTTATTACGAACCCCAACATAAGTTATTAATTAAGGCCCCAAGATTACCGACTCTCGCAGCCCCCAGGGCAGTGCTTTGCTCTTCAGAACTTCCGCGGCGATCCGCGCGGGGAGCTGACCAACTCTGAGGTGCTTTCGAGAGTTTGCTGAGCTCGGTTTAGAGTTTGGGGGGGCCTCCGTTTACTTTCGGGGTTAGGGTTCCGATTAAAGGTTCTAGAAGGTTTGGGGTTTAGATGCATTTCTATGGCCTATCAGGTGTTGGAAAGTAGTTTTGGGTTCAATTGAAGATGCTCGCCGCAGTGGTCGTGGTAGCGGCCGCGGTGGTGTTGGTAGTGGTAGCCGCTGTAGTTGTCGTCATACGCCGTCGCGGTCCTATAGTCGTAATCGTAGTGCTACTGAGGTGGTGCTGCTGCTGCTGGTGGTGGTGCTAGTCGTCGTCGTCGTCGTCACGGTTGTAGCAGCAGACGCAGCAGTGGAGGCAGCGATAGCAGTCGCAGTAGCTGTCGCTGCTGCGGTCGCGGTACACGTTGTTGCTGCTTTCGCGGTAGTATTGGTAAAAGTAGCAGTAGCAGCGGCAGCCGCATCTTGCTGTTGTGGCAGTGTGCTGTTTCTTCAGCCGAAATGCTATGAGCTGCTGGATGCTGGAAGGCCCTCGAATCATACGTCGAGATGCTGCGACGATTAGAATCACCGCCCTGGGGCAACAGTGCGCCGGGGCGCCAGCATGACTTCATGACTCTCGCGGCCCTTGTACCCATCTAAACCCTATATTCCCCAAACCGAATTTCACAAAACCCCAGACCGGAACCCTAAACCCTAAACCGAATCTCACAAAACCCCAGACCGGAACCCTAAACCCTAATTCCTAAGCCGAATGTCACAAAGACCCAGACCGGCATCATAAGAGGTGCTGGGGAGTTCAGGCACTTCCCGAGTCCAAGCTGGCATTGTTGTGGTTGCAACCATTTCAGGACTAGCCAGGCTTAATTACCCGGGCAACTGAAGACTATAGTCTCCTTCATTTTTTGTTCATATAAAACCCAAGGAAAAGTTATTTTTATTATGGTTCAAACGGGGGTGTAGAAGAAGAGTGTCAGTGCTGAAGAAACCCTGGAACTTATTCGGTATTCCGGGCCTGGAACTTTGGTTTTTTGCAGTGCCATGTGATGAGCCGTTTACTATCGAGCCCCCAGTATAGTATAGTATCAAGTAACGGAGTACCCATGTTGAATCAAACCAATATACTCCGAACCCTAATTATTCTGGATATTCAGGCACCTGTAGCCTATATAGCATTGTTGGGATCAGGAGGTGTATTGGGCAGTTGTGGCGACCCATCGTAGACTGGTTCATGAGACTGTTGAGTGCATCTGGCTTCGAACATGCAAGATGGGGTTCGATACCGGGCTTTGCTGGAGAGTTTTGACATCCAGAGGGTATTGGTTTTGTTCGAGCCTTTACATGTCCTTGCATAGTGGCATTGTGGATGCGTTGCATGCATGTCTATATATATATATATACACACATACATACACATCAAGGGCATAGGTACATATATATTGTAAATGTTAAGAATGGATGAGTCTTGGGGAGCGGGAGGCGGGAGGGTGCAGGATTTTCAGCTTGTCCAGCTACCTCAACAGCAGCCCTCAGTTGGAACGTTGCTCAGCTGCCCTCCAGGGTTCGTATACCTGCAGGGTTCTATAATAGGGATGCTTTATGGGGTCCTATACAGTTTTCTAGGCGCTTTGGGGTTTAGTTTAGGGTTTAAGCGTCCATATACCCAGACAGTTTATACTTTGGCCTTCATGGAGTTCCTGTGGAGGTACTTTGGGGCCAAAGTGTATTCTATTTGGGTACATCGACCCTTCGGGTACCATCTCGGGCTGAGGTGCACCCTGCGCGTGGAGTCGACTGGAGCCATTATCGGCAGGCCGTGGGCCTAGGTTGTACACACGCGCTTGGGGAGCTGATGCGTTAGTAATTACCTATACTGTTTTGGGGGTCCTTGTTAATGTGGCGGTCGGTTTAGTACTAGGGTACCCCCCCCCCCCCGCGACCAAAAAGTTGCGGTCGGTTTAATGTTCTGAGTGGCAGGGAATTGGGAGGTGCCGGGGCTTGGGGGCTGGCTTGGGTGCAGGGTCTGCGGTTCTGCGCGAATGCGCGGTCGGGGGTCGGGGGGGTCTGGGGATCACCAAATGCTGGAAACCAAGCCCCGATCACTCCAAGATTACTACCAAGACTAAAACCCTTCATTTTGAACACTTTTGCCTCCCTAACCTACACTCCCACACTCCCACCCACAATCGACCACATATGAAGCTTGGTGCGGTACAATAATAGTACAGTAGTACAATAGTAGTACAGTAGAAATAATACAGTAGTAGTACAGTAGTAGTACAATAATAGTGCAGTAGTACAATAGTAATACAACAGTAGTACAGTGGTAGTACAATAGTAGTACAGTAGTAGTACAAAAATAGTACAGTAGTACAATAGTAGCACAATAGTAGTACAGTAGTAGTACGATAATAGTACCGTAGTACAATAGTAGTACAGTAGTAGTACAGTAGTAGTATAATAATAGTGCAGTAGTACAATAGTAATACAACAGTAGTACAGTGGTAGTACAATAGTAGTACAGTAGTAGTACAATAATAGTACAGTAGAACAATAGTAGCACAATAGTAGTACAGTAGTAGTACAGTAGTAGTACGATTATAGTACCGTAGTACAATAATACTACAGTAGTAGCACAGTAGTAGTACAATAATAGTGCAGTAGTACAATAGTAATACAACAGTAGTACAGTGGTAGTACAATAGTAGTACAGTAGTAGTACGATAATAGTACAGTAGAACAATAGTAGTACAGTAATAGTACAGTAGTAGTACAATAGTAGTACTGTAGTACACTAGTAGTACAGTAGTTGTACCACAGTAGTAGTATAGTAATACAGTAATAGTACAGAAATAGTACCAATAAGCAAAGCATAAAGCCAGTGCGCACATTCCCCCAATAAGCAAAGCATAAAGCCAGCGCCTGAAACCCTAAACCCTAAACCTTAACAAACCCTAAACCCTCACGAATCCTAAACTCCTAAACTTCCTAAACCCTATAACAAACCCTAAACCCGAAGCCTTAAACCCTTCCAAAGGGGGGTCGGTCCAGATTCGACCCAAAACTTCATTTTTTATACAAACTTTAGTACTGGAGAGGCCTCTTTTGAGCTAGGGTCCAATCCCCGATTCGGCGGTTCACCCTAGCAGCCCCCCAGCCCCCCCCAATAATCAAGGTATAGTAGAATAGTAGTACAGTAGTAATACAGTAGAGGTCGTGGCTGCCTTAAGATTGACCATCAGCAAACAGCACAGCCCCGCCCCCAAAAAATCCCCCCAGCCGAAAAAAAACGCATTAATTAGACCGCCCAAATTTTTGGTACCGGTCGGAATTAGCCCCCGCGCCGAGGCATTAAAGGAGCCCATATTCCTAAACCGACCGGCACATTATAACTAAGTATGGCATACCCCAAAACCCTATTCCAATGATTAAGGCCCCATAGCATAATAATACTTGGACCACCAGAGTTGCCGAACCTGCTGCGGGTTCCCTAAGGGATCTTCTGGGTCTTTGGACCCAGACTCCTTCAGGTCAGGACTGGAGATTCAAGGCTCCGTAAAGGATCATGGGACTCAGTAACTTAAAGGGTTCCTTAAAGGTTCCCTAGTGGGTTCTAGAAGGGATCTATAAGGGCTTAGGATTTTACGGATCATGGGACTCAGTAAGTAGGGTGTTCACTAGGTCACTAGGGTAGCTCAACGTATGTTTGAATACTTGTAGACCTAAGTAAGGTGCTGATAGCCATACTTACTCCGCTAAGCCGAGACCAGACATGGCTTCTTCAGCTCGTAGATTGCAGCGAAACAGAGCATCCCAGACCTTCAAAAATATATTATGCAATATTAGGATATCATAATAGGATCCCGAATTCCCGAATATGATTTACTGTACAACCCTCAATTACGGTATTTTGGAAGGTTTGGTCTTGGTAGTGCTATTCCTAAGCTTTGCGGCTTGTGTTCGGAATGTCATGAGGCACCCCAAGCCGAGCTCAAGGCACCTTTCCCACCGATGGATTCCACAGCCCACAGCCCGTACATTCAGAACTAGGGCTTTAAACTTGCTGGGCTTGTGACCCCATATGTTCAATGTCAGCACATCTCAGCGACGTCCCAACGAACAACACGTAGGCCCGACGCCTGTGCATGCAGCAGTCAGATCGCCAAAGCACAAACTTGAATCCCAGCAGGCCTTCTGCGAGGTACTGGGATGCCAGAGCTAGGGGTTGTGGGAATCGGTTTGGGTCTAGTGTCCCGATGCCTGAAACCCTGTGCTGCAATCAGTCTCAGATCCCGTGACTCGCCCCCTACAGCCCCCCACACTTAAGCCCCAAAGCTTAATTCTCCATTTCTGAAAAATCCTTTAACCCTGATCCTGTTGGATTTCTGAGGTGCTGTCCAGACTTGGACGCTCTTTGTCGCGAAGATCCACCGGAGCGGCTAGCCCAGGCCGCATTTTACCCAAAGGGTCCCAGGTATTGCTATGGGGATCACTTCCACGAATCAGAATAGCAACTCTATTATATGTATAGAAACCCTACATTCCACGACATAGGTACTTTGAACCCTTCGGGTTATATAGGCGCCTTAGTAAGTAAAATTAGGTGCTGGTGGTATAACAGTGGCATCGTCATCGTTTATATAGGGACCAAACGCGCATATTGTCTGTGACGTATTTATTCCGACCCTGTCAGGGTTTACGGGCTTTTTTCTACGTGTTGTTGGCGCAGGCTTTAGTACCTTTTAGGATTCTAGAATCTAGTGGGGTTGTTGTTTGTGCTTCTTGTTTGTGCTTCTTTTGTGGAGTCGGGTTTCAGATTTCAGTGGTTCTCGGTTTGGGCGGCCATTGTGTGTCATTGTGGGCCTAAATGAGTAGGCTTACCGGTGCTGTTCGGCTTGGCGGGGACATCATCCCGAAACCCCGCTTTGGCGGTCCGGGAAAAAGAATCTGGTAAAGCACTAGAATCCTAAACCCTAAACCCTAAACCACTATAAAGGGATTGAAGGTGTAAAGAGCCCGTGCATGGTTCCGTCGCACACGACAGGCGCACTGCAAGATCCGATCCGAGAAGGACCCTGGCTTTCAGGTCTGTTGCACTTATTTCGGGGAGGGGGGGTGCCTCATTGGAGGTCCTTATGTTAGGGCATGGGTTAGGTACGGCCCCCACTCAGTAATAGTTGAATAATATTCATAATATAGATATAGTAGGACCTTAATAGTAGCCCTATTATAGACTCTTACTGTATGGAGGCCGTACCTAAGGCATTGGGCTTTAGAAGGTTGATAGGGTTTCCGGTTCATGACATTTTGTGTTCGGGGCCTGAGGCGCCAAACCCTTTCTTCTGACACCCAAACATTCGGATGCTTCGTCAGACCATGATCGTATCTCCTGGTATGGAAACCCTACTTTCTATTGTGTAGATGCTTAGGACCCTTTGAGGTGACCCTCATGGTTTGTGGGACCTGGCAGACCAGGGTATAGGGTTGTTGCTCTGCCTTTGGGCCTCCCGTGCCGGAAGTCCAAAGATACTTAAAGGATCATGGGACTTAGTAACTAGGGTTATATGTAAGGTAACTATACTTATAAACACTTATAACCCCAATTAGGGGGCTTATATCCTTACATACTAAGTCCCCTGATCCTCCAAGTAGAGGAGTATGAGAGCAACTCGAGCGTGGAGCTAAGTAGGCAGGCTATACTGACGAAGCACGCAGTGGAGAGAGAGATAGAGAGAGAGTGACTGTGTGTGTGTACCTAGAGGCTCCATAGCAGTTCCTTTTTGGGTTCATATTTAGAATCCTATAAGGGAATCCCAAACAGGAACTACTATGGAGCCTCTGGGTAAAGATCATTCAGACGGCGTTTCAAGGAGGACCCCCAGAGTTTGTGCAAGAAGTGTTCATTTGGGTTTAGGGTTTAGGGTCCTAAACCCTAAACCCTAAATCCAGATTTCAGGCATTCTCTTGGCGTGGGCAGCGAGGCGCACACCACACCAGACAGTCCAACAGGATGCAGTTTGACATGGCTGATGTAGGGGCTTTCATCATTAGAATCGGGTTTGGGAGGGGGTATCTTTCACTATAAAGATGTGGAACCCCCAAAATAATATTGGTAATGATCATAAGCCCCCTATATCAGTCGACTGCACACTTTCTATTCCGGGCCATGCTCATCACAAACGCCTTCTAGGCATTCTAGGCAGTGAGTCGTGACCTCTTATCGTGCGGGATGCAAATGCACCCAGTTCTGGCTGTTGCATGCCTTCTTACCTTCTTCTGCTTGCCCTCGACTGGCCCCTTCTTAGCTTCTGCGCCGCGGTCTTTGCCTGCTAAGCCGCGACGCTGGTGTTCTTCTATGTGGAAGTTTCCGAAAACAGGGGACCCTAACATAATACCCGCCCCAAACAGTAGGATCCTTCTTACAAGGACCCCAAAATAATGTACCCCTAATTTTCGGAAACTCCTATGTAGCCCATCTTCTAAGTCCTGAGTCCTACACCGCCATCTGAACCTGGAACAATAACGCCTCATTCCTAAACCTTAAACGCCAAACCCTGAACCCTAGTATAGGAGTTCTAACTGTACCTGCAGGCGGAAAAGAGCCCACAACAAAAAACAAATTAAAAGACAAAACAACCTGAACCTTAAGTAAGCCAACTCCTAAGCGCAGAAGGATCGCTTCTTCCTCTGCGACATGGAGACGACGGACGAGGCTGTGACCGAGCCCATGCTTGCCCCGAAATCCCGGCCCCTAAACCATGAAGCCGCCTGAAGTTTAGGTCTTTCTGTCTGAGGCTGTAGGGATGCTTAGGGCTTATAAGGGGTTAGGTTGGGGTTTAGTCGAAGTTTAAACGGTCTCCTGAGTGTTTACACCGTTGAGAAGGGGGTTGAATTTAGATTGGAGTTTCCGAAAATGGGGACCCTACCAAGGTACCCTAAATAGTAGGATCCTTATTTTAAGGGCCCCAAAGTAAGGTACCCCTGATTTTCGGAAACTCCCAGATTGTCCTCGGCTATTCACCGCTGCACCAAGGCACAGCATGCAAGGCGAAGTCCCCAAGACTCTTAAAAGTTCTGTTCAACCATCTGTCTTTGGGCGATCTATACTACTCTAGTTTAGGGTTTAGGGTTTAGGCTGACCATGTGGGATTGCTATTTCCGATTATGTCATCATCTTTTGCCCTTGCCGCCTGTTCGCGCGTCTGCACGAAAGTCTGCAGTCTTTCGAAGCGCTACGTTTGGCCGTGAATCCTCATTAGTGCAGGGCACTATAGGTAATCGCTAATACAATTCCTGAGAGTTCCTTGGTATAGGCGCAGGAAACTATTCCCAAAACCACCATTTTGATTACGAAGGCCGCCCTAGTGCTGGTGTTGGGTACCCAGAAGCTCCATAGTAGTTCCTTTTTGGGATTACCTTTCAGGATTCTATATATGAAACCCCAAAAAGGAACTACTATGGAGCCTCTGGGTAGAGCAGTCGACGGTGCTTGCGGCGAAGTTGGGGACGGAGTGCAGGGCTCCGGCAGGCTAAAGGTACTCCTACGGTTGATGACATAAATCCTGCATTACATTAAGGACCCTAAACTATGGGAATTATGGTACATTCCTCATTTTGGGTAATGCAGGGTGTATGTCATCAACCGTATGTCGAGCCACCACGGTCTGGAGTTTACAAATGCAGGGTTTAAGGTTTCGGAGTTCAGGGGTTTAAGATTTTAGGGTTTTGGGTTTAGGCTTTTTGGAGTCCTAAGTATAGTAGCTACGTAGAAAGCAGTGTTGCTATGGTACGAGTTACAGTTATCAATAGGAACCCTAATTAGACCAAGCCCTTAAAGCCTCAAACCCGAAACCTCAAGCCGCAAGAATCAGGTTTTAGTAGGGGCTCAATGCTTTCGGGGCCCCTTTAGAGTGAAGCCCCAATCGGGTAGGGAAATCTTTGCAAAATGCTGATGCTTCTTTCCCTTTTAGGGCCCCTACTTGGAGGATCATGGGACTTACTAAGTTTACAAACCAGGTAACTAATCGTCATAACGAGCTTAGACTTACTTGCAACCCCAACTACGGTGCGGATAACCTTGCTACTTAAAGGCTCATGGGACTTAGTAACTAGGGTTATAAACAAGGCAACTGTACATATAATTACTTATAACCCCAATTATGGGACTGATAACCTTACTTACTAAGTCCCATGATCCTCTAAGTAAAACCCCTGATCACCCAAGTATTCAGGGCACCATGCTGGACGGCTACGCTGTGAACAGCGACTGGGTCGGCCCTTTGAAAAGCGGGAGCAGCTCTGCAGCACTTTCTATGGCTCTAGGGGTGGCGGGCTTATGGGCTTTAGGGTTTAGGGTGCCTTAATATTATAGGGTCTAGGGGCCTCAGGGGTTTAGGGGCTTGAGATAAAGGGTTTTCAAGGGTTCAGGGTTTAGAGCCTGCGGGTTTAAGGCGTAGGTGTTGAGGGTTCGGGGTTGAGGAGTTTGTCAGCGTTGAAGTTGCCTACACAGTGGCTTAATTACTGACCTGAAGCCTTATGTAAAGCTCCTAGCGCACATAACTCAGGCATCCGACAACAGGGCTCTCAGTGTGATTCTAAGCTACCAAGGTAGGGATACGTGGTTGCCATAGGGCCTCCATAGGGTCTGCATGTTTTTTGCACTGGCAACTCGAGAAGAAAGCGCAATTAACAAGGACTCAACAAACTCCGAGCTCGTGGAACAGCCCGAAAGATCATGTTTCAGTGAAGCTTTGCCCTTGCATACGTTTTAGGTTTTAGGTGTTCGTCATTCTTGGGCTTTGGGGTTCGGAGTCAGGATGAGTTCAATAGGATTGGAAGCTTAGGACTTCGATTCTTAGATTCTTAGAATGTAAATAGCAGGGCATACTCGCGTTCTTAAGGGAATCTGGTGTGTTCTAGGCCTCTTTGAAGGGTTTCTGTACCTTACAATTCAAAGTAACCGAAAATCCCAGGAGAGCTCTGCAAGCCCTGCAGTTTTCAGCTCATCTCGCCAGTGTGCGCGGATTTGGCGGGCTTAGGATTTCCGTGCTTCAGGGCTTAAGCACTGTAATTATGGCGTTTAGGGCGGGGGGACTGTGCGATGTTCAGGATGTTTGGGTTTGGGCACTATGCTCCACGAGTCGGAAACCCTAAACCCTATAAACCCTGAACCCCAAACCCTCGAAACCCTAAAGGAAGAAAGCCAGAAGAAGCCCTGGAATCCGCTAACAGCGAGAGAGCCCAAGGCTTGATCACCTGCGGTCCCCTGAGGCTGCCCCTTTGCGAAGCTGCTTCAATACCCATAGCGTCCTATGCACTGTTATGGGGAAGACTACCCCAAATCATAATAGCAATTCCTAATATAGAAACCCTACATTCTACTATCTCGGTACTTTGGACCCTTTGGGATAGGGTTAACGGTTTAGGGTACTACCTTAAACTACCAAGCCCTACTTTTTTGTAGGTTCTTATTATAAACCCTAATATGGAATTTATAGGGGACCTACAAGAAAGAAGGCTTTGGTAGGTTAAGGTGGGGTTTAGGGTTCTGGGTACTTGGGTTTAGGGTTTAGGGTTAGGGAAGCAGGCTGATCGAAGGGTTTACTGACTGAGTTTATGTAAGTAAGGCTTTGTTTGGGTACTTTTTGGGGGGTTGCGGTTTCTGTTACAGGGATCTCCAAACACAGATTTTGGCTCTTACCTTCACAGGTGAGTGGAGGTTTGATCTGAATCTCAAAGTCCGTGACTAGTTGACACGTTGTGCAACGAGGACCCCATGACTGTAGTCTCCTTAGGATTTTTTGTTTTTCGGTCATAGACTCATAGAAGCCCAAAGAGAACATTAAGAATACGATTGTTATTATGGTTCTAAGGGGGGTGTAGATGAAATGGTGGGGTTGGGTTGAACTGCTTAGCTCTTTCAAGGCGGCTTTCTTGCGGGGGCCTTAGGGTTTGGGGATTCTCATACCAAAACCATAAGGCCATCGAGGCCCCAATGACACCTCTGATCCCCAACCCCAGTAAATTCTGACCCCGTAAAAGGCGTAGACAGCAGAACCCCTAAACTAATCCCTAAACCCCGAACCATAAAAACCTGAAGCCCTTAACCACCCTAAGCCATAAACCGCGGATTGGCTGGGCAGGGTTTCGAGATCTGGAGATCGGGAACAAACAAGCCGTGAACACTGTCAAGGCCCCAAAGAACCCTACAGGGTTTAGGGGTTTAGAGGTATGCGGTTTAGGGTCCAGGGGCCCTGCCACCCGTGCTAGAGCTTAAGCTTTAAGCTTTTGGCTTAAGGCCGCAAGCTTTAACCTCGAGACACCAACCCTCGCAAGCTTCGAGTAGGATAGCAAACACAACAGGTAGATTGCAGGTTATTATAGGTACATATTGAGTGTGTTGCTATGTAAGTTTAATATAGGGTAGAATGTTGGTGCATAGGTGTGAGATAATTTTCGAGGTTTAACCGTATAAGGACTGTATGGGACTAGTAATGCTCATACTTTGGGGACCAGTCTAGTACTCGTAGCTGGGCAGGATTAAGATCCAGCTGAGCGAGATGGCAAAGGCAATGATCGGAACTTCTTGTTGTGAGTCGGGAGAGAGGCCTTTGGATAGACGTATATTTCAGGAGATTGTAGGAATGCTCTAGGTATAGTTTAGGTATATCACGCGGAGGTTTCATATGGCTATAATGGCCTGTAGCTGGCTTCATTTTTGAAGAGTTGTGCCAGTTTCCGGGTCTCCGATGATGGCAAGCAGAAGAAACTGATACTGCAACGGCCAGCTTTGGCTCATGCACCACAAAAGCGTGCATCACCTCCGCCCCCACCAACGCGTGAGGATGATAATGAACGCGAGCGCGATACACTGCCACAGCCTTCATCATGCAATCCTGCAGTACCAAGGGCAATAAGAGTACCTCAGCATACTTGGCCATCATTGTAACTTCCGGCTGTTGTGACGAACATTATCTTGTCTGCATGGTGTTGCTCCTGCTGATGGTCATTGGCACAATCACGATGATGCTGAACGCGGAAGTACTTGCCTTTGGTTGGTAGGGAATGGAAGAATGGTAGTAGTAGTAGTAGTAGTAGTAGTAGTAGTAGTAGTAGTAGTAGCAGTAGTAGTAGCAGCAGCAGCAGTAGTAGTAGTAGTAGTAGTAGTTGTTGTTGTTGTTGTTGTTGTTGTTGTTGTTGTTGTTGTTGTTGTTGTTGTTGTTGTAATTGTACCCCATTCCTCCATTCCCTACTACAGTATCCCAAGGTAAGAGTAGTACTGCTGTGTCACTTTAGGAGCCTAAGGGTCGGATGGCGATACCTTGAATATATGTGCCTAGACCCCCGGGGAGGATCCAAAAAGGTAGATCCCTTAATGGGGGTTCCTATAAAATACCCTTAGTATAAGGTCCCAAATTAGGGGATCTACTTTCTAGATTCTAGATCCTCCCGGGGGTCTGGGTGCTTGATCGAAAGAAGCAGCAGCAATGCACAGAAGAGCCTGACCAGCAAGGAGGAGTTGTGGTCGGTGCCGGTTCATGTGTTCGTCAATGTAGATGACGCAAGAAGAAGAGTGAGAGACACAGTCGTGTCAACAGTTCAAGGCAGCATGTCCATCATTGCCATCTAGAATCTAGATTCCCCATCAAAGGTTGGTTAATGTCTCCGAAAAGTTTCGCACACCGGGCCTGCGTAAAGCGGAGTCTTGCATTGAGCTTAACGTCTTTAAAGCGGGAGGTATTTGGACAATGTAAGGCTTGAGACCCAGACCACGCAAATTAAAGCGGTTCTCGCACCATGTTATCTTTCGGGATCTTTGGTGTTGGGGTATTGAACAAGATCAGCCATCTAGATGGCGGTGCTGTAGTCTTAATGACGCATGGAGCAATGATGATTCTGGAGAACAAAACCCAGCAATTGCCGTCAATATCAAAGCCCCAAGGGTAACTGTCCCTAAGGGTCCATGTGCCCAAATAGTATATACATTGGCCTTAATGTAGTCCCTATATAGGTACATTGGGCCCAAAGTATGTACTATTTGGGTACATGGACCCTTAGGGTGTAGCAACAGCGGCAACAATGCCACGCGTGAGAGGACACTCCCCTGGATTCTGTTGCCATGCGCGCGCTGAAGCGCTCGGCGGAGGGGGATTCGGATGAGGAGCGATTGCAGGGGTGTGAGGTCGAGGGTTTTGGAGGGTTAGGGGTTGGGTCTAGGGTCTAGGGTTGATGGATTTCTAGGGTTTTGGGATTTGGGCTGAGGAGATAAACGATGAACAATGGGCAAGCTCCAGTTCTGAAATGTGGATGCAGTACTGAGGGTAACCTTCCGAAGTTGCTCCGAAAGGGGCGTGTTCATGGGATAGGGGTGTGGGGGATTAGGATTTACATACGGGTTTACGGATTTAGAGTTGCGACTGGTTGCTCCAGGGCTTAATTATGCCGGCAACAGCACACACAGTGTGTGTGTGTGTGTGTGTGTGTGTCAGTGTGTGTGTGTGTGGGGCTAAACGTTTGCATATGCATGTATGTGCGGAAGTGCATGTATGTATATGTATATATGTTATCGCTATACAGTTTCTTATATTTACAAACGTCCGGACGGTGTATAAGAACATATGTACACAAGAGACACACATGAATGCATCGGTGTATACAAGCATACACAACGAAAGGTCTGCTACAAGCGCCCAGAGCTCCAGAACCGGTCGAAAGCACCCTGAACCTATAATCCCGAGCCCTCAGTCCTAAACCTCAGCCCCACATGCTAGACTCGTAACTTGGCCATGAGCCCTAAACCCTTAGTTACCCTAAACACTGAAGCCGAGGATGACCCTGAATGGCGGCGGAAGGTGTTCCAGCGCACGGAAGAGGTTTCGGTAATTCAGATCTCTCGTTTAGGGTTCAGGGATGAGGGTGTGTAGGGTTCAGGGTTGAGGGCTTAGGGTTTGCTTTACGGGGCCTTAACCATCAGAGCAGGCTTTTGTGTTTGGAGTGTGCTACCAGATGATATAGGAAATGTGAGGCTAATTATTTCGACATTTTGACCTGTACTTGAAGGCTCATGGGACTTAGTAAGTAAGGTTATAAGTAGCTTATAATTAGGATAACCCCACTTAGGGGACTTATAACTATAACTTACTTACTAAGTCCCATGATCCTCTAAGTAGATTATCTTTTCGGCCCAGGGTTTAGATCTTGGGGTCGAGGGTCTGGGCCAAGAAACGGTCATCTCTGAGATGCGCGGCTAAAGATTTGGGGATTTGGGGTGCGAATGCTAAGGTACTTGTGCATATGGGAGTTTCCGAAAATATGGGGGTACCTTATCTTGGGGTCCTTATAATATGGATCCTACTATTTAGGGTACCATACTCGGGTCCGCTATTCTCGGAAACTCCCATATGGTTCTGCGAACAGCATGTGATGCAGCAGCGGTCCGAGAAAGGTGGCTTGATTGTCGACTGCGAAAGGTTGGCCAGTCGGACAGTCTGTCGCCTGAATTGTGGAAGATCACCACCAGTGTCAACATCATCATTACGTCAACGCGATCATCATCATTATCATCATCATCATCATCTGACAACTGCATGACAACTACCGTTACCTACCTTGCCATCACGAGCGCCGCTACCAACAGCACTATCACATCCGTCGTACAATCATGGACCTGATCATCATCACCGCCACCATCATCGTCACAGTCATCATGATCATCATAATCATCATCAACATCACTATCACCTAGTAGCATCGAAACCAACACAATAGCATGAATGTAAGTGCCTGAGGAGCCAGCACATTCAGACGGTTGACTGCAGCCTGGTTACTGCGCGTATCACCTCCATGAAAACGCGTGAAGCCCATCTATCTGTCTTTTTTTCTGTGTACCTATACTACCTACACATCTGTCTGTCTCTTTTTCTGTCTCACTCTATGCCTTCCTACACATTTTTATCTGTTTATCTATCTATCTATCTATGTATCTATCTATCTATGTAGCTTAAGCACTTCAGCAGAACGGATCACAACAACTGTGATCATTCTGTTGATGATATAAATCCTGCATTACCCAGAATTTCAGAATAAGGAAGATACTATAATTCCCAAAGTTTACGGTCCTTAAGGTAATGCAGGATTTATAAACCCAAACCCTAAAACACTATAGATCTCTTAACGGAACCCTTCTGGATCCCTTTAAAGGAACCCAAGGATTTCTGTCATCAACCGTACCTTTCGAGGATGCCCAGCTTGCCTGGGCCAAGCGCCGGGACCAATACAAGGCAGGCCTCGGCTTGGTTACCCTAAGTCAAAAGGGGAAAACTACCCTATAATGGGCTATATCATGGGTATATAGTAGCTATATTAAGGGTAAATACCTAAGGGTCTCCGCCTTAAAGACTCTACTACCTGCGAAGAATTGCTTAAAGGGATCGAGGGTTCCTTAAAGGGATCTATAGGGTTTAGGCTTTATGGTCTTCTGAAAGGATCATGGGACTTAGTAACTAGGCTTATAAATAGACTTGGTAATTATAACCCCAATTAGGGTACTTATAACCTTATTTACTAAGTCCTCCTCCAAGTACCCTAAGGCTCCATCTACCCGTATAGTATATGGGTGTTTGCCAAAATTTGGGTCCCTTTTTGGGTCCCTATTATAATACGGCACCTATTATTTAGGGTACCCAAAAAGGCGCCATAATTTTGACAACTACCCTAATATACTTAGGCCTTAAAGTACCTACATAGGGACCCCTTTAAGGCTTAAGTATCTACTGTACTGGTACATGGAGCCTTTGGGCTACCTGAGCACCGTAGGATATGACAGCTTCTGTTGGCCATATTCGCTGTTGTTGTTCATCGTCGTATTGCCTGTGCCGCTGCCTCGCCGTCGTCGAGTCGCTTTTGGCATCAGGGGCACTGTCATGCTCATAATCTGTATTTGCATCGCGTCATTGCTATTGCTGCATCCCTGAACCTGGCTTGTTCGTGCAGCGCCGCTGTGATATTCTATGTATTGTTGGTTTGTACTGTCCGTAGTATTGTTCTTGTTGCTAATGATATTGTTATTGTTGTTGTTGGTGGTGGTGGTGTTGGCTGGCTGCTTCTGCTGCTGTTGTTGATGTTCCTGGTGCTGCTCCGGATCCTTTGTTCTGCTACTGCTCCTATTGTTGCTGTTGCTGCTATTTGTTGTCGAGTTTTGTTTTTGTTTTTTTTCGCCCGCACGTCTTGTCTTGTTCTTTAATCGTCGAGAGTCTTGAAATGGGAGCTCTTGATTGAAATTTGTATCACCGGCAAGAACACATATGACACTGGCGTTGTCTGTCTGTCTTGTTCTGGTTGCCGTCGGTACGAAGGTTGGTGCGACGGTCCTTAGTGCTGAGTTTCTACTGATGCTGACCAGTAGTCACTGGTCTTACCTGGATGTTTCCTACTGGCGGACTTCTCCCCCGTGCCGTACCAAGAGCTTATCTTCATTCCTGCTCGTCGTTGTCATCGTCCATACCTTTTGCTACTGGATGCCTAGATCTGGCTCTACCAACAGAGTTGCGTTGGAGAACCCTTCACTGCAGGACAAGCATTTGTCTGATAACGAGTCTTCTCTTCATTATGATCATCGAAGTGGGTAATTGTCAAAATTAGGGTCCCTTTTTGGGTCCTTATTATAATACGGCACCTGACCTAATATTTAAGGTACCCAAAAAGGGACCATCATTTTGACAACCACCCGAGTATGGTCTTGGGGTTTAGCTCTTGTGAGCTTTGCGCCTCTTCTTCTTGTTGCTGGCCTTGCGGTGGAGGCTGCGTCCCCCGCACCCACGCTAATCGGGGGCCTCAAAAGGTAGGATGAAGGTAGGCGGGATATTCCCAAATAAGAGTCCTTATATAAGGGATCCTTAATTCCGCCTACCTTCATCCCACCTTGTGAGGCCTCCGAGCTAAAAACCATGAACCCCTGCAGCCTTAGGCCTCAGACCATCGACCGCCACACTGCCCATCAGGGTTTAGGGTTTTGGGTTTCGGGTTCAGGCGTGCGAGACCCCAAAACTTGCAAAACCTAAATCATCCATGGATGCACAGACCCTACAGTGCCCAGCCCTCAGAAAGCTCTATACTGAACGCTAAAGTATCAGGATCGTGCCGAAGAGCGGCGGCAGCGACACAGTAACAGTCAAAGCCCCAGGGACTTTGAAAGATCAGGGTTTAGGGACTACGGCTAAGGGATTTCATAGGTTTCGCGATTTGGTTTGGTTCAGGGTTACAGGGAGTCTGGGACCGGCATCAGGGTTAGTTTGGGGCTTAGGGTTGGTTTTGGGCCTTGGGGTAACCCCAGTCCCAAGGTGCAATTTGAGTACTTGCAGTTGGGTTTCGGGTAGCAGTGCAGGTGAAACTTGGAGAGTAGTATCACTGGGACCATTTAGATTGTGTACTGCGTTGAGGCCAGCTGGGGGGCCAAGGCCCTTCCTTCTTATTTGGGTGGTTGCCAAAATTATGGCCCCTTTTGGGGTACCCTAAATAATAGGTGCCGTATTAGAATAAGGACCCAAAAGGGGACCCTAATTTTGACAACCACCCATTTGGTTGTTTGTTTCGACCTCGGTGGTGTAAGGTATGAAGATGTTCGGTGCGATGTTCCGGGTTGTCGTTCTGCAATAGAGGTTTTGTGCTTCGGTGTTCCTTTGTGACACGTAACTGAACGGCACTCCGCACCCTGATTTACCTAGAGGCTCCATAGTAGTTCCTTTTTGGGTTCATATTTAGAATCCTTTAAGGGAATCCCCAAGAAGGAACTACTATGGAGCCTCTGGGTAACACTGATTTATTGCGCCGGCGTTTGGATGATAATTTTGGGATCTGGTGGTTGCGACTTCCTCTATACTCATGTTCTCGGATGTTCGGTGGTATATGTTGCTGGTTCCTAAGACGATGTCAGTTACCCAAAACAGTCTATACTTTTCCCAGTGGGTTAATTAATGAACACTCTACCCAGAGGCTCCATAGTAGTTCCTTTTTGGGTTTCATATATAGAGTCCTATAAGGTAATCCCAAAAAGGAACTACTATGGAGCCTCTGGGTAGTGTTGTCCTTGATGCGCCAGTCCCACCTTCTGAGGTGGTGCGGCCATCGACACGCTCGTGAACAAGTTCGAAAAGATCGTGGAGGCCTGAAAAAATCTGGGCATTTTGCGCTCGGGGGTTTAAGGGTCTCAGGCTTTTGCGCGAACACTAAACCCGAGCATTTCATTTCGAGTCCTAAGCCCCGTTGCAGCGATACTGCGAAGCCCCGCAGAACTTGGAACTCGGGGCTGTCAGACGTCAGCTTCTTCGTGGTCTTTTGCACCAGGACCCAAGAAAACCCACTTTCTTCAGGACTCAACAAGGAAATCAGAAGACGGAACCCTACACCCCTACACCCCTAAACCCCAAACCGCGAAAAGTAATCCTAAAAAGGGGAGGTTTTCTAGGGTCCAGGCAGGGCCTACCAGCCCGCAGTTCATCCACCCTACTGGAGCCTTAATAGTCACCAGCAGTATTATTCCTTATGGTTCTCATGTTCATTTATCTAATATTGAGTAAAATTTTATGTACCTGTACATATTTCTTCTATAGTTATGATATAAAGGAGCCTGCAACCCTCTTCTAGTTATGAAGGCTCCTATATTAACTTCAGTAGAAGATCGGGCGGGGAGATTTGGGGTGCATAGGCACAGGGTGGCCCTCGTCTTCCCCGCATCCCTCTTGTGGATTTCAGCAGTCTTAGTAGAAAATATTCGTCATCGACGTCTACTCTCTCTTCCTTCTCACGTTTGTGTATACATACATACATAATCATACTTGTATTTATATATATAATTATATATGTATATAGATATCTTCTCTCTGTCTCTCTCTCTCTCTCTCTCTCTCTATCTGTCTCTCTCTCTCGCTCGTTTTCTTTCTCATTGTCTGACTCTAGTCGTAGTAGAATATCTCCCTGAACCTTGGTCTAATCTTTCAGGGTTTCAACGTCATGTCATCCCTCATGTAGCCTCAGCAACTACTGTTGTCACGATACCATCGGAAGCCGAGCTATTAATATTGATATTAATATTAATATTAATATCAATATTAATATTAATATTAATATCAATATAGTAATATTAACATAATATAATATAACATAATATAATATAATATAATATAGTATAATATAATATAGTATAATATACTATAATATAATATAATATAAGATGATATAATATAGTATAATATAATTTATAATATAATATAATATAATATAATATAATATAACATAATATAATTTAAGATAATATAATATAAGATAAGATAATATAAGATAAGATAGTATAATATAATATAATACAATATAAAATAATATAATATAATATAATATAATATAACATAATATAATATAACATAATATAATATAATAGAAGATAATATATGATAACATAAGATAAAATGATATAAGTTAATATAATATAATATAATATAATATAATATAATACAATATAGTATAATATAATACAATATATAATACTACAATAAAATATAATATAATATAATATAATATAATATAATATAACATAACATAATATAATATAATATAATATAATATAGGATATTTTATAATATAATATAATAAAATTTATCATGTACTATAATATAATATAACATAATATAATATAACATAATATAATATGATATAATATAATATACTATAATTTAATATAATATAATATAATACAATATAATATAATATAATATAGTCTAATATAATATAATATAATATAATATGCACACACACACACAAACACCATAAATGCATGCGATCATTGGCCGTCAGTTCCTTTGACATGGTCATGTCTCGATCCGATGGAGGAATTGGCGATTTGAGTTCGGGAGTTTAGTGGAGGACCATCGGCTCAGGCTTGGCAATGAAAGTCCGGAATCCAGTAAACGGTCAGCATGTTGAATCAGATAATTAGTTAGAGGATGATGGTACGGAGCCGTATTCCTTTGAGGTAGACGGCCGTGGACTTCAATTTGGCAAACTCCACAAACTCAGCATTAAGCCCTACTTAGGCAGCCAAGTCGCCAACCAACCCAAACAGGCACCACTCAACCCAAAAGGCAACACATGAAGAGCAACAGCAGCAGTACACCCTCAGCACTGAACACAAATAAAGGGACAAACACAAAGAAAACCCCTAGACCCCAAACCCTAAACCCTAAACCATCCTAAGCCCTAAACCCCTAAACCCTAAAACCTAGACTCCAACCCCTAAACCCTAAAGCATGCTAAACCCATGCAAGCACACTCTGCAGGCCGAGCGGGTGGCTGCAGAGGCCGAGGACCTTCGACATTCGTTCGTTGTTTGTAATTTGAGGTTTGAGCTCTACCCTAAGGGTCCAAAGGACCCAATAATTCGGTACTTGGGTTTAGGATAGTAGTTATGTAGCACAATATTTAGGAGAGTATATGATTATTAGATACTTGGACCCTTAGGGCTATAGGTGGGTCCAGGGTTTACTTTGTCATAGTTGGGTAGCACTGACTTTCAGTGCAATGGGTACATAAACCCGGGAAGGAATAGACATGCAAGTTGTTACATGCAATGGACTAGTGGCTAGTTTAGGGTAGACTGCCGGGATACGTTTGAGGGTTTGGGGGGTTCAACAAGGTTCAGCGTTAAACCCCTACACCTATCTCTCACAAAGTCGTACCTTGAACCCTCAACCCCAAACGCCGACCCAAAACCACCGAGACCTTATGCTGTATACTAGATAGCCTGATTCAAAGATTGTAACTTTCTCGGTTTCCTCGGTCTGAACCCCCATTGACATGATACGGTTGATGATAAAAAAACTCTGCATTACCTTAAGGACCCTAAACTATGGGAATTATGGTATATTCCTTATTATGGGTAATGCAGGATGTATTTCATCAACCGTAATGGGTCTTGAAGCACGGGGCTCCTGCAGGCCCCGGGCCCCTATTACCAGGTTCCCCTCCCTTTTTTCTTTTTTTCGGGTTCCCCTCTGGAAAACAAATAGATACATAAAAAGGGGTACCGTCATTATGGAGGGGCTACTGAGAAACCTAGTTCACGCTTCCTCATTCTGATTTTCTGTCACACGTCTTTGAGAAGGTGGAGCATATTCAGAGTAAGTCCGAAACCCCAAATAGGGTAGAGGTAACCGTTTAACTCTCCCCTAAACCCTAAACCCTACTATTCTGAACTGTTCTCATCTTCCTTCAATCTCGAGTCTCGACTCCATTTTCCTAGGAGGCTCGGGTGGACATGCCCATGCAGGAGGCTCATCGCGAGGCAGAATGGGTAGGCTACTATAAGGGTTACTATAAGGGTGCTATGACATAGGGGCCTTAACAATCAGAACAGGATTAAGGGGTACTATAAGAGTTGAGGAATGAGGGTCTCTATGGTTTTGGGTTTAAGGATTTGAACCTTGGGCCGGGGGGTTCAGGGCAGGTTATGCCTCCACGGATGCACTGGGCTAAGCGTATTGCTCATGAGATAGAAGGAAGCAACCTTCTGCATGACTCTGCAGGAGCCAGACTGGGTTTCTGCATGGAAGCAGAGTGAATATGAAGTAAAGTTTGTGTTATCAAAGATCCTCGTTTCCCTTCTCTGTCTCAAGCTTTGAGGATCCGGTTGCATTCCGTGGCGAATTGGTCGATAAGAGAAACTGGGGTTTAGGGTTGAGGGTGCCTTCGTCCCACAAACCCAAAACCCTACAGACCCTCTAAGCCGTAGAGGTCGGATCTCATGGGAACTCCGTTCCCCTACAATCCGTTCTTGTCTGAGTCTATAGCCCAAAGCCCTGTTTGCGCAATTTGTTTTTGGCCCTGGTATTACAAGCCCTGTTTCCTGAACACCGAACTGGCAGCCGTCACACCTCTTCCAGGCCGGCATGAACGTGGACGGAAGCTTCGTTGGATTCGGCAACACCGCAGCCTGCTCGCATCAGGGTTTGGGCAGGGTTTAGGGTTGGGCGAACGTCGGGGAATGGGGGATTCAGGGGTTAGGCGGGACGATAGGGGGGAAATGCAATTCCGGGATGTGTACATCGACTGTGCAGGGGTGTGTGGTAGCTTTGGGATTCGGCCTCGTGACATGTACGGCCAACCGTCCAACATCGTGGTATGAGCTCTCCAGATGATTGCAGATCGATTCAACATTTGCCGGAACGACTGAATTCCAATGAAGTGCGGGGCTTCAGTGTTGTAGTTTCGTGCTTGCAAATTGAGTGGCTTGCTTCTTGGAGCTCGGCTTGGGTTGTAGGCAGAAACCCTGGGCGTGACCTTCGGGTTTCGATATCGCTTTTTTTGTTCTTCGGCAGCTGGCAACAACTACTAAGAATCAAAAGCCTGCCCCTACTCTACTACGACGACGTCCACCACCACCACCGCTGCCACCACCACCACCACCTCGACCACTACAACTTCTTCGACCACTACTCCTTTTACTACTACCACCGCTCTTCAATTTGTTTCAAGAAGTCCCTGAAAGGAACCCTGAAAGAAACCTAGATACGTAGCCCTTCAAGGAACCCCTGTCGGAACCCTTATGGTAGCCTTATGGTGGAACCGTTATGGTACCCTTATGGTATAGCCCTTAAACCGTACCCTTATGGTAGCCCTTAAAGGCACCCCTCCTCCGGCTCGTCCCAAGGAGCGCGCGGGCATTGGCTTCCATAGCTCGGGGAGCTGCTTGGATGGGAAGTTATTTAGGGTTTCGGGTTTATGATTTAGGGTTTAGGATGTAGGGTCTAGGATTTAGGGCGTAGGATGGAGGATTTAGGATTTAGGGTTTAGGGTTTAGTGCTTTTCCGGATTCAAGGGGTGCTTTGAGGGCGCCTGGGAGGGTTTCATACGATCCTTGCGGAGTTTCGTTTCGTGGGGTTTGGGTGTTCAGGGCCAGGTTTGGGGATCTACGGATTCAGGGTTTTAGGGTGTTGAATTTGCAGTCTTAAGTTTCGGTGTTTCATCCCGATCATCAGATGCAGCACGCTCCTTGAACCGATTGGACCGAAGTCAGACCCTAAACCCTAAACCGGCGTCAGAGTCTTTCCAGGTGCTGAGCTGATCCCCAACGTGCTTGATCCGAAGTCGCTGTCGAGACAAGCCGCGGCCTCAAAGAAGACTCCGGATCATGGTCGAGGATGTGACTGGTATGATGGTTATCTTTTTTGCGATGTGTGTTTGTTGTGTTCTGTTTGTCGTGGTGCTGGTGGTTGCTTTGCTCGAAAGTGTTGCTCTTCATGATGCTTCTGTTCATATTGATGTTGCTGTTGATGTTGTGGTGGTCGTGGTGTCGATTGATATCACTGGCCTTGCGACGGTTCCTGCGGTTGGCTACATCCTAAATCAATGATTTCGTCGAATCGCTGACTACCTAACCTTATAAAACCTATAAACTCTAAGCCCGTAAACCCTAAACCTCTAAATCCTAAGACCCTTAACCTCGAACCCCAAACTTCTAAGCCCTAAGACCCTAAGCCCTAAACCCTAAACTTCTAGATCCCAAACCCTAAACCCCAAACCCCTAAACGCTAAGCCCCATGAACCCTAAACCTGGTTTTGAGGCCTAGGCTTCCGAGGCTCCGAGCTCTTGGAATTCATGGCCCTTCCTTGACGAGAGTCTGTCTGAAACAGCGGCCGCAAACTGAATGCGAATAATGGAGGGGCATTAATGACTTCACAATTTCAATAGGGTGTGGGGGCAGATTATACCATAACAATAATAACGAATCCCCCAAACCCAATCTAACTATTAAGGCCCCTGCATTATATTCCAAGATGCTGGTTCTCCATCTTCGTGCTACCAGGATGCTAGAACCGGGGCGGTGGGATAGTTCTGTTCGTCGTGCCGCAGTCTTCAGTCAGCTCATTAGACAGACTGGTGGGCACTTAGAATGGCCAATGTAACGTCACTCGTCAAGTTCGGGCTCAGTAGGTCTGAAGGTCTGGCACTTTCGCGCCGAGGGTTTAGTAATTAGAGTAAGGGTTTGGGGCGTTTGGGGTTTGCCGGGGGGTTGAGGGCATTCAAGGCTTCAACCGTCAACCTTACATCACATTCCGGCAGCGACCGCAACCAGCACTCTGCAAAGCTCCTAAACCATAAACCCTAAAACCTAAACCCTAAACTAAAACCTAAACCCTGAGCCCTGGAGATCCCATGCACCAAGGATTCTTCAAAACTGAAGACTCAGCTTCGGTACCAGCAGGCAAGTACGGATTCGGTATGAGGCTTCGAGATGGGGTCTTCCGTTTATTGCTTCGGGTTTAGGGTTTGGGGTTTATGGCCTTAGGGTTTGGGGTTCAGGCTCTACTAGGGTTCGGGTTCCGGGTCAAGGGGTGTGGAGTTTCGGGTTTATTAGGGTTTGGGGGTAGTCCTTGAGGGTTACGGGTTGAGGGGTGTAGAGTTTCGGGTTTAGGGTTTATGGCCTTAGGGTTTGGGGTTCGGGCTTTAGGGTTCCGGGTTAAGGGGTTTAGAGTTCCGGGTTTAGGGTTTATGGCCTTAGGGTTTTCGGTTCAGGCTCTAGGATTCTGGGTCACGGGATGTAGACTTTCGGGTTTGGGCTTTATGGCCTTAGGGCCTTAGGGTTTGGAGTTAAGAGGGGTAGGGTTTGCAGTTGAGGGTTTCAAGTTTAGGATTATGGCCGGTTATGGCCTTGGGGTTTGAGGTTGAGGGCTTGGGGGTTTAACGTTTAGACTTTCGGGTTTAGCGTTTCTGGCCTCAGGGCGAGGTGAAGGGGTTCAGGGTTTTTTCAGTGGAGCTAGGCTTACTGCAAATGTGGCTTCGGGCTCAGCGTGTACAGTAGGGGTTACACTCCGGGTGGAACGTTAGGGAGTGCGGCTATGGGAACTGAATTTGGGACGTCGGGGTCGCAGGCCGCGATGCCCCACCGTGATGCCTTCGCTGCGTGACCCGATGTCCGAAGCTGCAAAGCCCTTCGGAACCCAGCCCAGACTCCAGATAGCCTTCAACTTGAAGCCCAAGGCTGTTTAGACTTTTGAGCAAATGAGTCGAAATTCTTCAACTCTCCTAGGGTAAGCTGCATCCAGACTGGCTAAGATTCTTGAGCAACTCCTTTTCCAGCCGTTCAACGCTAAACCGAAGCCCTACACCTTCACCCGAAACCCTCAACCTCAAATCCTGAATCTTACTTACACCCCGAACCCTAACCCCATAAGCCCTAAATGCCTGAAAGCCCTCACATTCTCCTGATTGAGCGGCCGCCCAGAGCGGCGCAGGCGCATCAGTGAGGGCGCCAAAGAGCTGCTCAAGGAAATTTCGTGTAGGGATACTTTTCTTTTAGGGGTGGAGGGGTAAGGATTTAAACTAAGGTGATGCCTTGCGTCCGAAACCCACCACCAGCACAGAACTAGAAAGGCTGTAGACACCAAACGCCACCTTACCAAACCCTGAGACCTACTGTACACGCTGGCCCCAAGCCCGAAGTCCTTCATCAGTTCGCAATGGAAACCATAAACCCTCCAACTTTCAAATTTGTATCCGAAACTCTATAGGCCGCCCCTAAAGCCTTCATTCACTTTCAGCCCTGCATGCGAAGACCCTAGTCAACTCTGAAGATAACATGCGTCCAGCCTGGTCCCCGAGAGCCCTTTATGAAAGCCATTGTTGTCCTGAACAGAGGGTATTTGGTGGGTATGATAGAGGGTGGTCGGGGGGTCCAGGAATACCCTAGTTTCAACTCTATACGCTGACTCCTAAACCATGCAACATCAATGTCGGGGATAAGAGAGAATCTGGAAGACAGACATAGCAAGAAGGACAAGCTGTGCCGTGAGAACGGAACTTTGAAACTGGGCTAAAGCTCTATACGCATGAGGGCATCCACTGTTGCGGTGTCGACTGACTTCTGTCCTAGATAAGGTGGCTTGTTCATGGGGCATCGTGTTGTTAGTGACTGTTAGTGTTCAGGCACGCCGGTCAAGGCGCCCCTTAGAATATGAGCCATTCTGCGAAGTCCCATACGCTGTGCCTACTCCATGTTGGAATCCTTAAGCTCGGAATGCTGTGGTGACTGGGACTTGTAGACAGACTACTAACCTCTCGGCCTGTATTCAACGACTAATCGCTAAGTTTGCGTTGCTGGAGCCGAAACTGCAGGACATAGAAAGACGAGCAATTTCACTAAACAGGAGGCCAGTGACCCAATGCCCCCCGGTAGTACACTCCAACGAACACTTAGCATTTACTTAACCGTTGGACATGACCTGTAGCTAGTGATACCGCACCCAATTAAGAATCATACACGAACTAGCAACTTCACGGTGTGGTGTTGGTTATCAATATTGTTATGGGTTTGTAACACAGAATGTGCCTTAGTCTACAATGTATGTTGCAGTTTCTAGGCAGTCTGTGCTGCTCGCTTGCTGGTTTTTTCAACAGCCCCGACATCCCACCCTGGTTCGAGTCGCTAAATCTGAATGGGGTTTAGGTTACAAGGGGCCCCCACCCTGTAATAGTGGTAGAATAGGAATATACTAGGGCCCTAATAGAATCCTTACAGTCACTAGTACAGGGTGGGGGCAGCTTCTAAGGTTTAGGGTTTACTCGCTATAACCCGGTCAATCAGCCATACGCCAGGAAGATTGTTCAGAGTGTTCAGATTCTATGGGCCCTACACGCACACCTCGTCCAGAAGTGTTGCCGCGAGAGTCGAGGCTTTTGTCTCGGCTCTCCTGAGCTCTCTGGGACGGAGGGCAAAAGACTCTCGATTGTCGGAACTGCGTGCAGATTCCCAGTTGATGATGGCCGCTCCAGCGCCGAAACAGTTGCTGCGATGTTCCAAAGTTCCTAAACTCTCAGCCCTATAATGTACGTAGATCAAAGCATTTCGGGTTTATCGTTGTAGTTACTGCAGGTTGGTAGCCTGAATAGTCAGTATAAGGAGTAGAAATACTCGCATCCCATTGGCTAGTACTTGTATATACATATATGAATATATGCATATGTAACATATGTATACATATATATATATATATATATACATGGGTGAGCTATACGGTCATATATATATATATATATATATATATATATAGATATATACGGTTAGTTATACATGCACTGACTCTTCGTACGATGATGCTCATCCAGCATTCTGTCTTAGGAGGCCACCACCAGGCTCTGGAATGCAGTCTTTCGTGAACCAGTTTCTGGAGAACCTTCGACCACATTTTGGAATACAGAATCCTAGTATCGTGAACAGCTCGACGTCTTTTTGCCGGGCAGAAATGAGCAGACAATATAGGTGCCTCCGTAATTAGAACGGAGTTTCGGGGTCTTTACAGCAACATCTATATCAAGGACGCGCACGGATACTTATGACCTATAACTTGTACACACTCGTCACACGTCTTTCTAACATAGAGTTTGCATGCATGTCGAGGTGGTGCTATCAAATAGGTTTGCCTGCATACCTTGTGTAGTCCCACCATTGATCCCTTCTCTCGTTATCACGAAGAACCACGGAATGCTTCGTGCTTTGAGCTTCTAGGCCGATACGCATAAGCATGTCGAGTTTGGAAAGGCAGGGATGAAACAGTAGCAATCATCATCATCATAACACCATGACTCATGAGGTAGTATGACCTAGACGTAGTGGCATTCGTGCTGAAAAGCGACAGGAATCATGGCTGCATGAATTTCTATGCAAGTTACGAACAGCACGATGCAGCAAGCACATTCCGCTTTCTTGAAAAGGCGTCAGTGGCAGTATTCGCAAGAACGCAGGAAGAGGCAACGAATGGAGATCCACTGCGTACTCTCTGGCTCAAAGCTTGGTATATACCTTGTGGTCCTTTGCTGGGCCTGATCAAAAGACGATCCACGCTGCCCTTTGCCGGCATTTGTTGGGACCGGTGGCTTCAGGTGTAAGCTTCAGGGGCAGTTCAATTGTCAATCTGGAAGAAGAGGAACAGCCGCAGTGTGTTTTGGGACATCGCAGGGCACGATCTACCCATCAGAATGTCAGCTGAACTCCCTTCCCTTCCTTTCTGTGTCCTTGTCCCTCTTGCACTCTATCACTCGCTCACTCGCTGACTCATTCACAGAGTCTCTCACCAACTGACACTCGCTCTCTCTGTCTCTGTTTCCGTCCATGTATATACACTGCATATACATATACACGGCGTGCGGGGATGTGCATATGAAGATGTGCACATGCGCGTGCACACACAAACAACCCAAACGTGTAACTGCATACATGCGCGCGAGTTATTTGTCTCTCTCTCTCTCTCTCTGTCCGCGGATCTTGCTGGTGATCTGTGCCAAGTATCCGCCATAAGTGCTGATACCGCCTGAGTAGTCCGCTCGGCTAGCTTTGTGACGTTGCTCTTACACTCAGCTCGTCGCTATTGCGTCCGCCATACGAGCCGACGTTCATCGTCCGCCATACGCGCCGGCGTTGTAGCATATCCACTAACGTATGTACAGCTGTTCAAGCTCTGTTTGGCTCAGGTGGTACGGCAAGGACATGACAAGACGTTTGTTCTTAATGGGTCATTGCATACCGCCTGCCCAAGTCACGCTCTAGCCGGGAGCCTTCAGAAAGAGCCAGAACAGACATGACCCTAAACCCCTAAACCCCGAAACCCCTAAACCCTAAACCCTGAACCCTGAACCCCTCAACCCCTAACCCCTAAACCCCTAAACCCTAAACCCCTAAACCCCTAAACGTTCAACTTGCCACCGTGTACCGGCATGGGGGTGCAAGCAGCCCTCAACCAGAAACCCAGAAACAGTCGACCCGGTCGCGGAGCCAGGGCCTAATAAACGGGCCAAGATAAGCACCTATACTATTTTGGGGGTTCCTTATCTAAAGGGTTCCTTATGGTAGTTATAATATAGTCTACCCTTACACCCTAGTCTTACCATTAAGGCCCCCACAGTAGAGACGTTCAGATCCGAAGAGTTCATTCCTACAGCGAGTAGGACCACTGGAGCTGAGATTTAGAACGCTGGGCCCTGGAAAACGTATGTGAATGGCGGGGATAGCTTATACTTTGGGGTTGGGGTTTAGGGTATCATGGTCTGTACTTACAGTACGGTCCCATCATGTTGCGAGAGTCGCATAGCACCCATCCGGAAGGTTTACTGATGCCTCCTCGACGGGGACAGCGATCGCGAAAGGATGAGGCACGCTGTAATTACACCAGATTACAATACTAAGACCAATGATCGTCGTAATAAAATAGATAGTAGTACTAAACATAGGAATACTAACAATACTATACTGGTCATAATAGTACTAGATACCCACAAGATGGCTTTGCATCTCTCGTGTTACTCACTTTGATGGAGGCAGTGGTTTGAGGTTCACCAAGTCGGAATGTGGAATAGTTCTCAATTTCTTTCTGTTGCATATACTGAGCCCTTTTGTTGAAGTGGGGCGGGCAAACCGAAAACACCGATACAACCTTTTTGGCTGGTTTGTTGGCGTGGACAAGTTCCGGTGTTCGGGTCTAGACTCCATGATGCGACGGCAGCGATTCATTTTATTGGGGTCTAACCCTAAATCCCTAACTAAACCCTAGCCGCCTGTTATGCATCACATTCTCCGGGCTCCGTGTCGAGACTACAGGCATAAACCGTTGATGGTATGAATCCTGCATTGCCTGAAGGACCCCCCAAAACTATGGGAAATCTTGTACATTCCCTATTATGGGTAATAACAGGATTTATAGATCATCAACCCTAAACCCTGTAGATTACTTAAAGGAACCCCCAAAGTTACCCTTTAGAGGAACCCTAGGACTTATATCGTAGTTTTTTCGGTTAAGTTTCGTTTATATACTACTTGGGCCGTTGGGGTTCTCTACGGGTCGGGTTGAGCATTGGGAGTTTCAGAAAATTAGGGGTACCTTATCTTGGGGTCCTATACTGAGGATCCTACAATTGAGAGTACTGTATCATGAAGAGGTAGGTCGAAACTGCGAAGTTAGAGATCTGGCATGCTCAGTTTACGGTTCCGTGTAGTGCTTCAGAGTTATATGTTCCTTAGTCACTGCACCAGCTCACAATTTATGCACTCTGCAGAAACCTTATGAAACCCCATAGGCCCAAAGGTTGCTGTCTTGGGCCTGTCGTTACCCTTTCCTACCCAGGTGTGGGAGGGACCCGTTATTCTGACCGTGAGCCCTTTGAAACCCGAAGCACAAGCTTGTTGTATTTGCTTTGGATACCAGAAAGGTCGGAATAGCTAGGAACTCGTAATTAATCGCACGACCTTATAGTCCCT